GACCTGGTGCCCTTGTAAAATGAGGGAAATACACAAGCGCAGGAAACTGGCAAGAAATTGTGCAGTTCCGCCCTGAATCCACCTCCAGTCCAGCCCCTGATACAGCCCTTCTATAAATATTGAACCTCTAGCCCAAGCAAAGGCTGCTTCTTACTCTCAAGAAAGCCTGCATTCTCCCTTAAATGTGCATCTATCTTCCTAAATAAAATTTTATTTATGCCTTAAAAAAGAAAGAAAGAAAGAAAGAAAGAAAGAAAGAAAGAAAGAAAGAAAGAAAAGAAAAAACCCTTGAGGGCATGTCAAAGGGACACAGCACCAAACTGAAAGAGCTCCCAGTGACGACGCTGGAACACACTGAGCAACAAAATAAATAAAATGGTATTGAGTTGTAGCCTAAAGTGGAAAAGAGATTTCCTCGAGTCCATACTGATGTAAATAAATGATTGAATACATAAAGTAATGAGGGAGAATCGATGACTCTATTGTGCAGGATAATTCCAAATAATTTATGTAGATTTTACATCCTCAAGGAGGCAGGGCTCTCCCTACTACCTAAGTGGGGGCTGTGCACAGGGACTTTTTTTCCAAAGAATACACTACAGGAAGGAAAAACAATGACTCTATAGGGAAGAAATCTGGTGCTCAAGGTTAATATCACATAGTGGTCAGTCATACTGATATTACCTACCTTTGATATGAAGGGATGAAAACGGCACCTTACCTCCGTGGTCTTCCTTCCCCAAACCTCTAACCCCAATGAGCTTATGAGAAGACGTGTCAGAGAAGTCTCATTTGAGGGACATTCTGCACAATACTTACCCAGTACACCTCAAAACCGGCCAAGTTATCAAGAACAAGGAAAATCTGAACAGCGCAAGGATATTAGATAAAAACTAAGGAAATCAGAATAAAGAATGGATGTCGGTTAATAATAATATGTCAGTGTTGATTCGTGATTCTGACAGGGTACCATATTAACATAGATGTTAATCATTGGGAAAAGTGGGTGTGGATATATGGGAATTCTGTATTATTTTTATAATTTTTTTTTCTGTAAATTTAAAACTATTCTGAAGTGAAAAGTTTGTTTTTTAAAAAGCAAATGTTATTCTAGATATTGAAGGAGGACATCTTTAATCACATTAGTACTATTTGAAATTTGGGGCATTTCCTGGGGTACATACAGAGGGAAGAGTACTCCCATCTGAGTACTCTCATTTGAGGCACGGTTGCCTTTGTCATGTCCCGCCCATGTTCCTCAGTTGTACTACCCACCTGGCCGTTATGACTTGGAATCTCTGGTTCTTCGGCTTTATAAGCTTTACCCAGTTCTTGGGGAGTAAAGAAGAAAAGGGAAAAAGCTTACATAGTGGCCTTCCTCTGGGTGTGTTAGCTGAGAAGCTCAGACCTTCTACACAAATGCGCATATTTCACACACACAGCCTGTGGCTGGCTTGCAACACCATGTTAAGAAGATGTCAACAGTAAGAATATCAACAACTAAAACCAGTGTCTACTTCTGGTAGGTTTTACATTTTAGTATTGTTAAAATGCTCTTTGGAAAAAAAAAAAAAGAAAGAAAAAGAAAACAACTCTCAGAAACAAATCTGATGGAAGAATCTGTGTTAGAATTGTTTTATCCGGTTTTCAAAAATGAGGATATTGAGTAATCTTTGGTATTTGTTTTTTAAAGATTGACTAGCTTCACTTAGCATAATCTGCTCTAATGCCATCCATTTCCCTCCAAATTCTATGATTTTGTCATTTTTTAATGCAGAGTAATACTCCATTGTGTATAAATGCCACATTTTTTTTATTCATTCATCTATTGAAGGGCATCTAGGCTGATTCCACCATCTTGCTATCGTGAATTGTGCTGCTATGAACATCGATGTAGCAGTGTTCCTGTAGCATGCTCTTATTAGGTCTTTAGGGAATAGACCGAGAAGGGGAATAGCTGGGTCAAATGGTGGTTCCATTCCCAGCTTTCCAAGAAATCTCCATACTGCTTTCCAAATTGGCTGCACCAATTTGCAGTCCCACCAGCAATGAACAAGAGTGCCCTTTTCCCCTAATCTTTGATTTATAATAAATTTATATCCTTCTAGAGACAAATTTTCTGCACTATTCTATGTTATTTGTGAGGCCTTCTTAATTTCTACCACATCAGCTAAGGATGTTTAATAAATTTTAAGCAAACGTTTAAAAAAAATGCTCTTTGACTAAAACTGAGCCCACATATAAATCATTGTGGTGACAATTAAATTTTATTTATTTTCAACCAGAAGATTGGATTGACAAATAATTGCTTTTCTTCACTTTGAGAAGCTTAACACATTTTATTTTTTATTTGAGTGGTTGTTTCTTTCCTTAATAAGAATATAATTATTAACATGTTGCTAGCATTGTCCTTACAAACCTGTTCTTCTCTAAAATGATTGGTTTTGATCTGGTCATTAGATGAAAGTCTACAGGCAACAAAATGTAGGATTTCTTTGGTCTGGAAATGGATATTATTCAATTCTATTCAAGCCCATGGACATTCATAGACTCCAATTATGTACAGCACTGTGCTGGGCCTAAAGTCATTGGCTTTACTCCAGTTTTCTGTCATCAGACATCAGCTTGTCTTCATTGAACCTGTAACAATGTGTTAATATTTGGTAGCAGCCTGACCTTACACAAAACATGTGATTTTACAGAAGACTCCTTGGAACAAAGGAGTCTTTGGTCAAAGGAATGGATCTACTAAGTTTGAACCAAGAAGGTAGGCATGAAGAAAAGGGATTTCTGGGCAGGGCGATGGATCGTAGGTCTGAACTGGGGTGACTCCTTGTACACTTCCAATTTCTTTTTATTTAGTGGATAGTAAAAAGAACTTGACTAGGAAGAAGGAGACTCTAGCCTCGGCTTTACCTCTAGGTATCTGTTACATTAGGCTTCGTATTTAAAAAAAATCTTTTTTAGTTGTAGATGGACACAATATCTTTATTTTATTTATTTATTTTTATGTGATGCTGAGGATGGAACCCAGTGCCTCATGAGTGCAAGGCAAGTGCTCTACCACTGAGACCCAGCCCCAGTTCAGGCTTTGTATGTTTTACTATGTGAAAAAAAGAGAGAAACTCGTCTCAGTTCCTTCTGAGTCTTACGCTTTCTGCCCAAGCTAGCTGGGCCAAGTCGGTCCTGGTTGGTGTCTGCATCGATGAGGAAGCACTTCTCACAGTTCTTCAGTGGGTTTTCTTTTCTCTCTGTCATTGTCAATGGATTTAAGGAAGGATTTCCAGAGTTGACACTGGAGTCCTGAGTTGTTTTCCTTATTTTGCCCTGTTGTTTTGGCAGGTGACTGATTTCAAACTTGCCTGTTGGAACAATTTCCATCCATCCCTATGATGTCATTGGCAAGAGAAGTTTTGTGGTTTAGGGAAAGGAGCATGGGTTTTGCAGTCACCCTGGGAGTCAAATCCTGCCTTTATCATTTAACTAGAGCTGTGACCTCTGAAAGTGATTTTTGAGTCCTCTAAAAACCCAATATTCTAACTGACAAAATGTCACTAATAATCCTGACATCTCAGGGAAGGTGTGGAGATTAATTTAGACAACCATATGAAGTGACTATCACTTTTAAATGCTCAATAAAGGGAATACCCTCTCCTACCTTGCATAATGATGGGAGTTACATTTTCATTAGTGTGTTTGCACATGACATTTGGGCTATTGAGTGATTACTATTGCTCCTTGGTACTTTCAGGGGATTGAGTCCAGGCTCCCCCTCAGATGGCAAAATCCACAGATGCCCAAGTCCATTATATAAAATGGCATAGTATTTGCATACAACCTCTGCACATCCTCCTGAATACTTTAAGTCACCTCTAGATTACTTATAACATTGAATGTAACGTAAATGCACAGGCACAATTTTTTTCCCAAATATTTTCCATCCACTCTTGGTTGACTGGGTGTGGAACCATGGTGATGAGGAGCTATTTATATATGTGACTGGGTGGGTTTTTCTCCTTCCTTATTTTCCCCTTCTGGGAAGAGCACACACCTGTCAAAAAGAACAGAAATAGGCGACAGCATCCTCATACATAGTAGATGCCCACAGGATGGGAGATGTGTGGAAGCTCTGAGTTTTTTCAGCTAACACACCCAGAGGAAGGCCACTATTTAAGCTTTCTACCTTTTCTTCTTTACTTCCCAAGAACTGGGTAAAAAAGCTGATAAAGCAGAAGAACCAGAGATTCCAACTCATAAGAGCCAGATGGATAGTACAAATGAGGTACATGGGCAGGACATGATAAAGGCAACAGCACCCTTCCTTTGGCATGAGGATGCAATGCAGTCATGAGGGCAGGGGAAAAGAGAGCCTGTCTCCTCAAGAGGGACAGCATTGCTCTATCTCAGGTAATTATGCAGTGAGATAATATGGGTTCTCTACTCTAGATCTTCCCATTTTTCCCAAGGGAATCTAGAAATATAAACATATAAGATTTCTGATTTTTGATTACTGACAATTGAGTTAATTGTCAATTGTTTAATTATAGGCCAATCCAAAAGCTGACCCCCAGGTTCTAACCTCTGGACTGCAAGGACTGGGGCTGCAGGGTCACTGGTGAGGAGAGGGAGATAGGTGTCTAGAGAGTGGGAGAGGGAAAGCTGAGGAGCCAAGACAGATGGGCTGTCCTGAATCCAGCTTTCCTGTGAACCCTGTGTGGATTGGGATATAGGACTTGAGTTGCAAGTAAAGGACTAATTAATGTGTGTGTGCTTGACCAACTTAACATGAGACTAACCGAAGCAGGGAAGGTCCTCATGGTGATTATATACTGCTGCATTTACATGAATCTGAATTTTAGCAACCAAGGTTGTCCTTTCACTTTTGCAAACTACAGATTATAATTTGGTCCTATTTAAATTTTTCATGAAAGATATAATGCATCTATGTAAATAAGAGAGCAAATAAATTTTCTAAATGCTTTATTTTTTTTTTTTTTTGCACAAATAGTTCTGCACCTCTCACATAGCTCTTGCTAGAAAAACAAGAGCTAGGGATATGTTTGTTAATGACATTTTAAAATTTGTGCTTTGGTATACAGAGGCAATAATGTTAGGTAAGTTAATAATAAATTAATGTTATAATAGTTGCCATATTAAAGAAAATGAATGTATTAGTCTTAGCAAAACAAAAACAAACAAAAAGAAAAAAAAACACATAAACCAACGCCCACAATTAGTTTGGAAATAGGCAAGGTAGGCATATCAAAATTAGAAAAAAATTAGCTTCAGACAGCACTCAACTATATGCAATTTTTTGGTGAATAACATTCAGTTATAGGATGTAATATCTTGCACAGCACCTGATATATACACATTGACCTATACATATATAGCATCCCTAATCCAAAAATCCAAAATCCAAAATGCTCCAAAATCTAGAAATTCTTGAGCGTCAACATGACATCTGCAATTGGAAAATTCTACATTATGAAACTGTTTCAAGCCCCCCAAATTATTAAAAATATTGTATGAAATTACCTTTAGGCTAAGTGTATGAGGGATATATGAAACATAAAAGAATTTTGTGTTCAGATTTGGAGTCCATCCCCAAGATAGTCAACATGTATATGCAAATATTACAAAATCTAAAAAAAATCCAAAATTCAAAATACTTCTGATCCCAAGCATTTCAGATAAAGGATAATCAACCTATAGTAGACATTTGACAGCTAATTGTCGAATTTTATTACTTTTTAACAGTAATTGCCTTCAGTAATAATTTCTTAACCCAGATAAAACCCAGAAATTTTGGAGGGGGTTATTCCTTATAAAAGTCTATTCCTCTAGAGAAAATCAGCAATAGTAGAGAGAAAAGAAAGTGTGAGAATGTTCTAAAAAGTGTTTCCAATCAATTTGCTCAGGGAAGGATACCTGGCCCTCTGTGTTTAGAGTCCCTGCAGACAATGGTGCTGGCAGGATCCTGGTCTCCTTCTATCGCTCTATTTATTTTGGCTTCCCAGAGATTAGGTCTCAAACCTTTTGTGCCTGGCTCAGAAGGACCTGTCAGGTGATATAAGTTTTTCCCTTTCAGAGCTTCGGAGAGGCTCTGGGCTAAGGAGCCAGCCTGGTCTCAGTGACACCTCTGCCTGTTACTCCCTAGTCTCTGCCAACCCAGAAGCCTGTTTACAAATGTGTACAGATGACTACTCCTGGGTCCTTGTACTTTGCAAAGCTCCTTTCTCCCAGTGGGATATTGCTAGGACACAGGCAGGCTGGAGAGGCTGTGGGAAGTTTTGGAGGTAGAAAGATAGGGTCCAGAAAGGGGTGCAGTAAGAAGAGGGGGTCCCTTTGGAGAACACCATAGCCCAAAGGCAGCCTTGAGCTGATTTCCATTAGGAACCAATGGTGGACTTTCTTCTTTGGTTCTTTGGCTCTTTTAGATTCCCCACCTGGAGCTGGGATGGTTCAGGAAAGAAACCAGCCTCAGGTGTGGCTTTTCATTTCTTTTTGCATCTAAACTTCAGCTTCCAGGCACCGCACTGTGGTTTTGGGTGGACTCTTGGGCTCCTCTGGATTTTTATTTGTTTTCTTTGATTCTTCATTAGGACTGCCATCATCGGCCTTCTCCTCCTTCACTAATTTGGTTTCAATCATTTCCTTCTGTTGATTCTTGTTTGTAAACGGAAAGGCCTTCACATACCTGCAAGCATACGTAAAATTAAAGTGTGAGACTTCTATGTAACCCGAATCACAATAGTTAACACCTCACCGGCAACGGTGCTTATTGGCACAGTCCACCAAATACCTTTATTTCAGAATGATGCTAAGGCACGCCCCAAAACATTAATTTTCCCCCACTTTAACGGAGTCATTTAAATCACATGGTATGTTCACAGGCCCAGCTTTAGGCTGGACTCTCAACTCTTCCAGGAAAAACAAGAACCTGAAAATCAAATGTAGTGTATAAATTTTCCCTAGATGTCAAACTTTCCTTTTTATATCCTGATTTTCATGACATGCCTATGCTGCAAGTTTAGGAAAGATAAGCTGGTAGGGAAGAGAGGCCAGATGAAGGAGAAAATTTATAGTAGTGCCGTCTCCGTTTTGACCAATAAAATGCCAATAACAACCTCAGAAAACACAAGGTAGGGATGTGACAAAGACGACAAGGCCAGCAGTGTACCAACAATCTTACCTTTTGATGTAGCAAACTGCCAGACCAGCTGCAGCACCAAAGAAGAGAAGAGCAAGTACCAGCAGAGCCGTGGGAACACCTGGAGGAAACAGAGACAGCGCGCATTTCATGACACACATGATGTGGACAATAGGTAGTGCAGGAGAAGAGCCTTCTCTCTGACCCTCGCCAGCCTCTTGGCTTCCTGCCTATAGATTCCTCAGCCTTCCCTCTCCGACTCGACTCTACGCAATTGCAGTTCAAAAGGTGGAGTTCATTTCCTAATGAACTCTAGTGACCCAATCTAGCTAACAAGTCTGCCTGGCAAAGAGATGTCAGAAATTAATTAAGTAACAGGCAGTTAAGGTGATGATTTTTGAATATATAATAACATAACAATTTGTTTTTATAAATCTCGAGTTCCCAACAGTGAAACTCTTTTATACTTGTGATCTGTAGTTTAATCATTAAGGTTCTTTACTAAAGTTCTATGCCCTTATGAAAACTGAATTTCGGTTGAGCTTCCATTTTTATCTGGCAGGTGCAAAGTGCCTAATCTGAAGCAGACTGCATTCTGTATGCTTTGTCTGTTATACATCAGCACACATAAACACAGAACATAGACACAAAAGGCTTTTACCTCCAAACCCAGCAGCTTCATTCTTGAAAGCTTTTTCCCCTTCAATAGAGGGTTCCGTTTCTGTAGACATGAAGCTAGTTTCCGTAACCAGCTCTGTGATGCAAATCAATTTTTTCCTCCGTGGAACAGAAGTGGTGGCTGGAGCAGGAGTAGTGGCAAGAACAGGTGTTGTGAATGCTTCTGAGTAGATGCTGTCACTGTCAGTGAACTCTGATGTGTATGGTGCAGTTTGAGTGTCAAACATGGGATCATCAGTGGTGATAATTTCTGGAACACACGAGTTGACCCAAATATCTGCCCAGAGAGGAAAAAATGAAACGAGAAGTAAGTATTGCAATGCCTCCCAACTGTTCTTCCTACCTCTAGTCTTACCACCCTCCAAACTGCAGCAGAAAGGTCTCACTAAAATGCAAATCTAATTATATCACTTCCTTCCTTAGCATCCTGCGGAGTCTGTCTCTACTCTGCATGGCTGTGCTCCATGGTCTTGCCCTGCTGACGTTGTAAGATTGATCTGCTCAGCTTTTCTCTCATGGTTCCTACCATACTAAAATTTCTTCAGCTCCTGACATGCTTTCTCCCACAGCCTAGTGTTCCCTTGAGCTTCCTTCACCCTTAACCCAGTAAGTCCCTAATTTTCAAATCTGCGAATATTCCAATAAAATTGACACAGGTTGCAAATCATGATGTAGAGCTTATATTTATTATTATATTGATATTATAATTATTAAATTATAATGCGATTATGTTCATCTTATTATTATAATATAATTATATTATATACTATGTTTGAGTTTTTATAGGTGTTCTTCATGTGGAATGATGGGACAAAATGGGTTCAGGCTCTCTGCCGGCTCTTTGCTTACCTAACTCCTACCTATCCTTCAGGCCTCAGGTTGACCTTGACTTTCTTAGGTAGACTTGGAAACTAGATTGGATCTGCAAACATTTATTCCTGTACTTCTTCTAGTTCTCCTTATACTGGTCCCCATTGGATTATGACCACCCCTGCAAGCAGGAACCCTGTCTTGCTTGGTCATCATGCTGTGTCCACTGTGCCTGTCCCAATACATATTTGATAAAATAGAAAGGAAAAACAACAGGAAAGAAAGAGTAGATAAGGAACCAGGACACACTTGTGATACAATTCAGGACAAGATCTGCTAAAACCAAATTGCTCTGTGCTCATAAAAAACAAAACAAAACTAAACCCCAAAATATAAAAGGCAGGGGGGAGGGCCATGGGAGGCATGTGTATTTGTTTTCTAATCTGTTGAAAGTGGTAGAGAAGAAACTAATATTTGTTTGGTATTTGACTCTGAATCAACCATGGTACTAGGTGTTTAAATAGGTAACTCATTTAACAATTTTACCAAACCCTTATTTACACAGGAGATTACTGAAGTCGAAAGAAATTGAATAACTTGCTCGAAGTCACAGTTAGTAAATGACAGAGCCATGAGACATATTATAATACCAATTTGCATCTGTTTTAAATCCCTGTTTTTTTTCAGAAGTGGATGGCATCAGTTGGAATGTTTGTATAGACAAAAAGTAATTCCATTAAGTTGATTTGCTTGAAAATTAAGTGAATTGCCAATCAAGTTCACGAACACAACTGATCAAACAATTTGACCACATATGCATTAAATTGTGTGCTATTTTTCTATTCTACTTTAAAAATACCTCCATTTAAATCGACATCATCCTTGACCTTCTCTGCCTTGAACTTTTAATCCCATTTTGCATTCTTTAATTCCACTTCATTCTGAGGTTCTTTCCATGGAAAATGAACATTTCTGAATATCAGGGGGAAAACACTCAGCTCACCAGACTATGTTGGGGACTAGTATTAAATACAAACAAGGCATGGTTCTCACTTCCAGGATAAGAAAATAGGTGATCATCGAGGATTAAGGCATCTGGGCAGAGCATGGAGGATTGGTGTGTTCATAAAGCAAATATTTATGGAGCACCAACTCTGTGTTAGGTCCTGTTCTAGGTGCTAGGGACATGATGCAAATGAATCCAAGTCCCTGTTCTTTAGGGGTGTGTAGGCTAATAAGTGAACAAATAAGCCAGAATTTCAGAGAATGGTCAATAGTGTAAAGAAAATGAGACAGGATGTGAATTCAACTGAGAAGGGTGGAGGAAGAGGGACAGATACTTTGGATGGAGCGATAAGAGAAGGTCTCTTGGGGAGGTGACACTCAAGCTGAGACCCAAATGATGAAAAGTGGCCAGTCATTGAAGATCTAGGGCAAAAACATTCAGAGTAAAGAGAACAGAAGGTACGAGAGCCTGGAGCTGAATGAACTCACCCATGGGGTGAATAAGGCAGCCTGTAAGGCTGAAAGAGAGCACGGCTCACCTAGGATCAAAGGCAGAATTGGATATCCCAGTCAGCAGGAGCAGCATGATCCAAATATCCAGAAGCTGGACAGTATAGTCATGCTAGAAAAATAACAAGGAGTGCAGTGTGGCTAGAGTACATAGTGTGTGTGGAAGGGGGAACTTGATAGGCCGGGAGCAGGGTAGAAGACTGGGAAGGTAGGTGGGGCCCTGGTATCAAGATTCATGATTACCATGTTAAAGAATTTGGACTTAATTCTGTAGGAGAGGGAATTTTCAACGGGGGTCCATCAACCTCCTAAATTTCATACAGAATTCTCATATAAGTCCACCTTTATGTGCAAAAGCCCTCACAATTTACATTCTCAAATGGGAAATCATTCAAGCCTGTGATCAGAGAAGGAACATAGTTAGCAGTGGACGTGCGTGGGGGATGAAATGTAGAGGGAGCCAGCCCAATCCAGGGGCAAAGGAAGAGCTTGTTGCAATTGCACAGAAAAAGGAGAATCTAGAAATACCTGGAATCCTAAAACTTAGACCTTAGGAAGACTGGAAATAGCCCAAATGTCCATTAATGGGAGAGTGGCTGAATAAGCTATGCTATAAGCAGCCAGTAGAGTACTATGTAGCCATTAAAATGAGAAATATCTCTATGAACAGATATGAAGTAATTTCTAGAATTTAGGTGAAAAAAAGTCATGTGAAGAGTAGTATATATAGTATATTAGTTTTTTTTGTAAGAAAAAAAGGGGAAACAAAACACACACACACACACACACACACACACACAAATACATGTATGCACATGTCTCCCCTTATACACACAATCAGCAATAAACCAGAAACCCAAATGGTGAGTGGAAAGGTTAGGAGAAGACTTCTCTGACTATACTTTAAAAAAAGCATATTTTGGGTCATTGAACCATGTAAATGTTTTAATCTATTTTAAAAAACACAGGAAAAAAGTTGAACTCTAATTGATCACAAACAGATACAAGCTAGCTTACCTTATTTAAAAATGATAACATAACCTCATAGAATAGTGATTTTTTTCCAAGTCACCTTTGTACATAAGTCACTGATTACATTCTTTGCAAGGATATCTTCTAAGGACTAAAAGGTTTGCAAAGAAATCTTAAATTCCACTCAGTAGGTTTGTTATTCCTGATGATGTTGGTTTTATAATTTTGAAACTTGTAGGATAATAAAATATATAGTTTACAAGGAACTAAGATTTTCAATACAGAAAAAAAGAGATACAAATATTTAAAAAGTGAACTAAAAAATACATTATTAAATTTGAGCTGGAACTATCAATATAAACTTATAATTTATATATGTTTATTTAAAATTATGAGTGTGTATATATGTATATATACATATATGTAGATATATTTGTGTGTACATTTTATATATATATATGTATACATATATGTGTATATATGTGTATATGTATGACATTGCTAGCTACTCATTCAAAAAGGACCAAGAAGCAATGAAAACTTTAATAGTAAGGAGAACAACCTGCATGTAGATCTTGTTTCTAATTAACATTCTCCACTAAAAAGAACCAGGGCTCTTTGTAGAAATGAGTAGCTGTTTTCACATTTGGGACAGAGAAAGTACAAAGTGAGCCTGTCATAGTGTCAGGGAGCAAGGAATTACTCAAAAAATAATAGGATAAGCTTGGCAGTGCAGGGGCACATGTCTGTAATCCTAGGGACTCAGGAAGTTGAGGCAGGAGGATTGCATATTTGAGGTCAGCCTGGGCAACATAATGAGACCCTGTTTCAAAATAAAAAGGGCTGGGGATGTAGGCCAGAGGTGGAGCACCCCTGAATTCAATCCCCAGTATAGCAAAAAAAAAAAAAAATTAAATATATTAGAAAAAATAGGATAGAGGACACAATAGTGAACTAGAAGGTGCTCACACTTGCCAGAATTGGGACAATTGAACACCCATAAGAATAATAATTGTAAGATTAACTATAACATTGAGAATAACGTGTCATGGTAGTATAAGTTGGAGAGAGAAAGTGTATGTAAGTATCTGTGTGTGTGTGTGAGAGAGAGTTCTTCCTCTTAGGGATTTCTCCTTTTCTGTGTGTGTGGTACTGGGAATTGAATCAAGGCGTGCTTTACCACTGAGCTATGTCCCATGCACTTTTTAAAAAATTTTTAAGATAGGTTCTCACTAAGTTGTCCAGGCTGACTTTGACCTTGCAATCCTCCTTGCCTCAGTCTCCAGAGTAGCTGGGATTATAGGCGTGCATCACACACCCAATGAGATTCTTCTTTATCAAAGATGCCAGCTGATAAATGTAGAAGGAAGGATAGATTTAGAAAAATCATCATTTTCCAGCCCCCTACATAATAACTGATTCCAACAAAGCTCATCAATGATTGGTTAAACTGTTAGGAAAAGGCAGTTTGTGGGTCCACCTATTTTCATGGTGCAAAAATATCACATTATAGATTTTCTATTAATTGCAAAAGGGAAGACATATCATTATAATTCCATTAGAGGGAACTGGCAGTCACCATCTTAATTAAATGATCAAAGCATAATTTAAAAATGGGACATAATTACATTAAGTGCCTTTTATTGTGATGTGATCCAAAATACACATTATGATAATATCTTCTATAAAATATGTTTGCCAAAAAATATTGAATATGAGTCTAATCAAGCCTATTGGCCTAGCAGATGGCAGCTAACGAATGTAGAAGGAAGGATGGATGGATGGATGCAGGAACCAAGGGGATGAGGGAACAAGTTAAAAGAAACCATGGGTAAACAGACGAATCCAAATCAGAGGCCTGGGTTTCATACTGTCACGTTGACAGCTGGCGGGAAGGCAAGGCAGCTAAAAGGCAAGGCTGTTTGACAGGCCTGGGCTGGACATGAGACAAGCAGGCATGTCAATGGCCAATTCCCTAGCCAACCATGACAGGCTGACGTGACAGAGGACAGAAGGACGGTGGTGAAAAAATGTTGGAAGAAGACCTGTGCTCCAGCCGGGCTCTGCCACTAACTGCAGATTTGTGCTGCCCCTAGTCTGAACCACGGTCATTTCATCCACGATGTAAGGGAACTGGACAAGGTTCCCTGAGGGCCTTTCCCAGGTTCAGGGAACTAACTGCTTGTCTTCCCTACTGCCTTTCGGGGGTTTTGCTCATGTTGGTTGGTGAACATTTATCTCATGGAACTTAGGGAATGAATTCAAAATCTATCCTGTATGGGACCACTCAGCACCTAATCTGAGGGTCAACCATCTGAGTATGTGTGAAAAGTAATGGGCCAGACAGTGGTTCCTAGGGCAATTGAGAGCAAGTAGGGATTTAAGGGAAAATGCTCTGAGAATTGACTACTAGACTGGTTGGGATTCAATTCCTTCTGTCATTAAATGGAGATTGTGTTTGTTCTTAAAAATGTCAAACGTTGCATCTGCATTTCCTCTCCTCTAAAAGAGTGTGGAACAGTGGAAAGAGCAAGGTGTCAGGGTTAGACCTGAGTTTGAACCTTTATAGGGGTGAGACTGCTATGGTTTGAATGTGGTTGGAGAGAATCCCCAAAGATTCACGTGTTGGAAGCTTGGTCTTCAGTGTGATGATGTTAAGAGGCGGTGGGTCTTTTAAGAGGCGGAGCCTGGTGGGAGGTCATTAAGGGTAATAGCCTTTTAAAGGAACAGATACAGTTCTCCTAGGAACCTGGTAGAGAGGGTTGCCATCCTGGATCAGGCTCTGGCTTGCAGGCTTGTCATTTGATCTCTCTCTCACACAGGCATTCCCACCATTGGGATGCCATTCTCTACAAAGAATTCCCTGAGCTGAACTGATGCTGGCAACATGTCCTTGAATCTACAGAACTGTGAGCTAAATAACCTCCTTTCTTTATAAAGTACTCAGCCTCGGGTATTTCATTACAGTAACAGAAAATTACTAATACAGAGACTTTAGAGATGTTTTTACATCCTCTGGGTTGAATTTCTGTATCCTGTAACTGAGGATGTTAAAACCTTCACAGGGCAGCTGTGGAGGTTCAGAGACAACTAACCTGCATAATGCTTCATCCACAGTGGATGGGTCACATACATGTGACATTTGGTTTCTTCCATTCTTCCTGTTTATCTTATAGGAAGCAGGGGTGGTAGAGATAATAATTGAGTCTCCTTGGATGCTCTCTTCTTAGACTGCCTTTCAGTCATATTTTCCCTAATTTTTTGCTCTGGGGGGCACACTGCCCCCATGAGCGCAGTTGGAGACAGTCTTAGGAGAATTGGCTGACCATTGCTATGGCTGTTTCTACTGCTGCTCAGGGTTACTCTTCCCAAACAGGCCACAGAGCTGTAGATACCCATAAAGGACATGCCACATGGAGAGGCTGCAGGGTGGACTCACCAGATGAGTTGTGACAATAGGCCCTGAACGTCTGGCTAACCGGAACTTTCCAACTCAGGACGCCTATCCCATTCTTCCCACACTTGGGGTTCGGGAGAATCCGAGGGATGACCGTGTACCCTTCTCCAACCCATCCATAACTGGAAAAGAACACACGCATTGAATGGCCAAAGGATTAGGAAGCACCGTGTCTAGTGCTGAATAAGAATACAGCGTCAAAGGACTCCTGCAGCATTAGTGAATCCAGTCGTTCCTCACCTGCAGGTTTCAAAGCCAGACTTCCATGCTGCTTCTACCTGGTCTTTGCTGGCCAAAGTTAGTCCCAGCAGCCTGCAGGCCTCCTTGGCTTCTGTGAAGTTCATCTGCCGGTGTACCTTTTTGTTCACGAGGGTGACTCCCAGAATTCTGCACGGCAGTGAGATGGAAAGCTCTGCAGGGAAATCACATAGGTGCTCAGTGCATTGCCCTTGCCCCACACCTTAGGCTCTCCTTCTCGCAAGAGAATTGTTACGGTGGTGTGGCAGTAGGTCAGGGGGCTGGGATTGAATTTAGAAATAACAGGACACAGGCCAAGAATTTCCTACAAGGACAGCCTGCTGGGTTAGATGGATGCTTGCTCTGGTTCAAGCTGCAAATCTCACCAGATCCAAATCCATCCGATCCATCTCTATTAAGGTACTTCATTCATTGCATGGGGACTTTGGCTGCTAGCTCCTGGGGTGTGGTCTAGGTAATAGCGCTGCTGCCAATCTTTTTGGACTCTGTAAAATGAAGCCTCTGAGGCTTTGGGAAAGACCGAATTCAGGCCTTGGGTTAATAGAATAATTATTAATATTAGCAATGCTCCCAATCAATGTAGTTGGGGACCCACTATTTCTGAAATAGACTGAAAATGTTGCGTTCATTTTAACAGAATGTGGGCTCTCTGGGTTCCAGGTCTTCTCTGACCATTGGGGGGCAGGCTTACTCAGAAGTTCCTGGAGTTTTTGGGCAATAAATCTTGCATGGCAGAGAAACTAAATAAAGGAAATAGAATTTTAGAGTCAGACCTGGGCTTGGAACTAGTCTATGCTTCTTGCTAGCTCTGTGACTTCAGCCTAATTACTTTATGTCTTCGAGCTTCAGATTCCTTATTTATAATATGGACTGTTACAGGATCTACTGGATAGGGTAGTGAGAATCACGTGAATGAATTTCTAATAAAAATGTTTAGCATAGTGCCTACCATATAGTAGGTACTGATATGTAATCATAGATAACGTCACCGTTATGTCATCTTCAAAGCATTTTGGTTTTAGTCTGCTTAATAATTGATCTTCCTGGGGCAGCTGAGGCAGATGAACTGTTAAGATGTAGCTAATATTTTTACCCAAAATCTAATGGACTTGGGAACTGATTTGACCCTTTCCCTTTAGGTTCTTGCATTTATAGACCGTATAAATTTTAACAAGTTGCACTATATTCAAGTACATTATTCCTATTGGGCTTCATCGAAAAAAAAGGCATCAAAGGGCATTTTAACCTCCCAAGTAATTGGTTGTTCAGAGAGCTCTATGTGGTGGATGCAGAAATGCCTCAGTCACTTTCTAGGTTGGTATTTAAAGGAAATTTCTTATTGTAAGCATAGAAGGAACATCTCCAAGTCCTTTGTGTGATCTTGCTGTGTTCTGAAGCAGGGGCTAGAGGAAGGGATGTGTATTTGCAAGTGGCCTTGTTTGCATCCAGATTCTGCTGTCACCAAGAGAGACCAGAAAGTCAATACCCTAATATCAATGTTTGTGCCTGGGGCCACAAAGCGACCTATGACTGTATGCACTGATGTTCATGCCTATGCCAATGCTGATATTAATACTAAAATCAATAGTAATTCCCACACCTGTCATATGTTGATATTATTCTGTGCTAAACCCTGCCTCTTTTAAGAGAAAACTTAAAACTTGTGTGTCTTTTCTAAACCCAAGGACATAAGAAACTTGGTGGCAGATTCTGCCTTCCACTTTACTGCAGGGAGACCGACAAATACACATACACAGACAGTTGTCCACTTGTCCTTGAATTTGGCTCCTTTGGCTTATAAGCTTGCTATTGCTCAGACATCTTATCATCTTATCATTGCTTCTTTGGAAATTGACTTCAGAGACACTCTTTGTTACACTATAAAGTGGTCTTGCTACTATTTAGAATAATGCTATTATTTAGAGTCATGATAGACCTATTCTGTGGGAATAGACCTGGCTTTAGAAATTTCTTCTGTTATTAATTTGTCCTTAGGACCTTGGACAAGTTAGTGTTGTTGTCTGTAAAATGGAGATGGCTACATTATCCCAGGATTTTTATTTGGAATTAAATGAGATAACTTATACCTCACAGAGACTGGATCCATAGAAAGCAATCAACAAATATTAAGCAATTTCATGCTTTCCTATTTCATTTAGATATAAAAATAGGGAGCTGGAATCTAAGGGGCACTCTGCTAGCCCTTCCTTAAATATTTCTTAGAAAACAGTAAAAATGTACCTGGAAATCAGAGCTGATTTCAACCCCAAGTTTTAGCATTTACCTCCTGCATAACATTTGGTGGGACTGTTGTTTATTTATTCATAAAATGTGTTCTTGAGAGGATTAAATGAAGCCTTCTATAATACATAATAGACCTTCAGAAAAGTTTCCATCACCATCACTCACCTTCATCACCTCCTGATTCCACAGTTGTGGTTAAGGTACTTTCAGTTGCTTCCAAACAGTTAATTTCCTTAGGAAAATTTTGTCATCATTGGGGACGGTGCACAGAGTGCAATGGAGTCATTGTTTTAGCATGATTTCCCAAATAGTTGGAATAATGGTGGGATTGTGGGGAAAAGTGAAGTCTCCCCAGGGCAATTTCAGAAAGGACCAAGCTTATTTAAAAGTAACATTTCTCTAGGAGCTATGGCATATGCCTGTAATCTCAGCAGCTTGGGAGGCTGAGACAGGAGAATAGTGAGTTCAAAGCCATCCTCAGCAATAGTGAGATGCTTAGCAGCTTAGTGAGACCCTGAATCTAAAACATAAAATATGGCTAGGGATGTGGCTCAGCGGCCAAGTGCCCCTGAGTTCCATCCCGGTACCCTCTCCCACCAAAAAAAAAAAAAAAAAAAAAAAAAAAGTAAAATTTCTGTTGGGCTCAGTGTCACAAGCCTGTAATCCCAGCGATTTGGGAGGCTGAGGTAGGAGAATCACAAGTTTGAGGCCAGCCTAGGTTACTTAGTGAGATATAAAAAATAAAAAGAGCTGGGTATATGGCTCAGTGATAAAGCACCTCTGGGCTCAATTCCCAGTATCTAAATTAATAAAAGTAACTGTTCTGGTGAGGCATGGTGGTGCAAGCCTGTAATACAAGCAACTCAGGAGGCTGAGGCAGGAGGATCACAAGTTCAAGTCCAGCCTCAGCAACTTAGTAGGCCATGAGTTCCTTAGTGAGACTCTGTCTTAAAATTTTTTAAAAAAGGGCTGATGATGTGGCTCACTGGTAAAGCAACCCTGGGTTCAATACTCAGTACAATACAAAAAGATCCCAAGTAAACGTTCTGATATTTGGGAGGCAGGGGCAAAAATAAATCATAGAACTCTAAAACTCCCTTATGAAATTAAAGTACAATATATGAGTCAATTCCAAGTGTCTCTCACAGTTATATTTTATATCTTGTGGCATCTTCCAACAGAGGAAAAAACTATTTTCCCTTTAATAAAAGTGCTCAGATTTTCATTTGCCCAGAGCTGTAATAAGTGATTTGTGGTTACAATTTTTTGCCTACAGTGCAGAATGAAATTTCCATTTAGACATCCCAAAAGCCCAGAAATCACTTTAAGTCATTCCTTTGGAAGGGAGCTGACGGTGAATTTTTAAACTTACATTTTCACAAAATTATTTTCAGTTAATTTCCCGCATATTAAATTCAATGCATATTAATGCATAGTATTTATGTATAGCATGATGTGCTTGGAATTAAAATAATTATGCCAATACTTCTAAAAACACAAAATAGGACAATACTTAGTGACAGTTACCCATTTTTTAGTAATTGCTTCAAATTTTCTATAGTCATAGTTTGCTTCTTGAATGAAACACTTTTAAGAACAAATTACTTCTCCTCCATGTTTTATTTATACATATTGTTATTAAAATATGCCATAACCAAAATAACATTCAAAGGCAAACATAATCATGTTGGTGAAGTTGACAATATGGTCAATCGCTCACTTCTGGCTGAGCAATCCTACCAATTAGATCTTCTGTGACCCTTGAGTGTGGCCCTCATTCCCAGTCAGTAGTCCTTAGTCAAGAGCCCAGTGGGCTTAGGCCAGTTTCCAAGACCTTGCCTTGCTTCTGTTTGGAAATCTGGTAAGAAACCTACCTTGTATTCTGACAGAGCCTTGGGCCAGAAACCTCAAGGTCCAGATGGAGGCAAGAAGCAACACCAGGCTGAAGCACTTGGCCATTGTGCAAACCCCTCAGAGCCAGGGAAGCACTGCAGGTGACCACTGGCAGCAAGGGAGGCAGCAGCTCAATCACCAGGCTGGATGGAGAGTTCTGGAAATGTGTTGAGGGCCACTGCTCCACTTCATAGCTGAGACATCCGGATTTCCCTGCTTTCAAGCTCCTGACTTGTCAAGGCCACTGGGGGAAATGAGTGACGTCCTTTGAATGTCCAGGCTGTACTTTGTGGATGGCTTTCTGGAAAATTTAGCTAATGCTGACTCAGAAAACACACGAATGAGGAAGACAGAGAGCACAGGGTGAGCTACCGACGGTTTTCCTGATTCCCATGTTCCCTGCCACTTGCCCTCCCCTGTGGGCTCAGTTCTCACACCATTCGTTGTTATTGCTGTGGAACCCATTCATTCACACACTCATAGGAATGTGTCTGTCAGAAGGAGATTGAGTGTGGGTGTGCTTCTTTCCTCTCAGTGATTTTTTTTCCCCTCAGCAGCATCGCCTTATAATGTGTTGGGGGGGGAATGATGAAAGTAAATGCCCACTTAAATCCCATGCCTTCCTTGGGGACTTCTTTTATACATTGGAGATCTCAACGCCACTACAGGGGGTTCCTTTTTCAAAGAAATCAGACACACATAAAAATTCATATCTCTGAAATACAACTAGGGGGCAATTTACAAAGTTAGACATTTTTACACTTCACAAAAGAATTTTTGACTTTACAATAGTGATCACCACAGCACTTCTTTATATAACTTTGCTTTCTCTTGAATAATTTCTATTATATACTGGTGGACCAAATTCTAATTTAGACTCTCCCTTCTCACTTGAGGAATGTGAGGGGTATTTGTTCTGTATTTAAGTGAGAGTACTCGAGGTTTTCCCAGCAGTTTTCAGAGGTTTGCCCTCCATGGCAATTATGAAGTTCTGACTTGCAAGCAATGCCTTGAGCAAAAATTCACAACTTTTCTCCAAAATGAATGTCTTTTATATGAAGGGTATAGATGACAAGTTCTTTTCTATAGAAGTGGTACTGGCAATGAAGTTAGATATCTGTGTGCAGAAAAAAAAAATAACAAAAAAAGAATCTGTTCTGCACAAATGCAGGCAGCTTCCAAGAGACTGGGGAAATTTTCCCTAAATATCTGCAATATAGACTCATTCCTCAGGTGAGCACAAGTCCTAGGATCCTAGTACCTAGAAAACATATGTTCCTCTTATTGTATTAGCAGGTAGACAGGTAAAGAGAGAATCATGACCTCTTCAGAATTGTCCTTAATATCCAGCACCATGCCTAGAAAAATAGCTAGTTTTTAAGAATTTGTTAAATTGTTACCAAAAGGGAAAAGGAAATAAAATAGTAAGGGGAAAAAATGAATTATGCAGGGTAGGCATGGGTGAAATAGCTTATGAGAAATGAGAAGACACTTGATTCCCCCTGCCCCATGTTTTATCTGTGCATTATAGTTATACATAATGATGGGATTGTTGTTAAATATTAGTATGTGCATACAATATAACAATGTCATTTGCCTGTAGCACTCTATAGTATTTCCCTCTTTTCTTCCTTCCTCCTGCCCCCACCCCGTTTCCTTTCCTCCACTATCTCTCTTCGATTTTCCTGAGACATCCCCCACCCCGTCTTTCTTTTCCTTCCTCCTCTCTAACTTCCTCATATGAGAGGAAACATATAACCCTTTATCTTCTGAGTTTGACTTATTTTATTTAACATAATGGTCTCGAATTCTGTCCAATTTCCTGCAAATTACATAATTTCATTTTTCTTTTTGGCTGAATAAAACTCCATTGTGTATATAAATTACATTTCCTTGACCATTCATCTGTGGAGGGACACCTAGGCTGGTTCCATAATTTGGTTTTTGGAAGACACTTGATTTTTGAAACAAATATCCAGAAAGGGAATTATTGGATAAAGGGAGTCTGCATAATTGTGCTGATGCTTAATCATCAGTTTCCAGAAAGGGGAAAATATATATCTCCATTGAGAGAAGTTAAGCTGCCATTGGGAGGTAATTGGAAATTCTTTGTCAAAACTTGCTGCCTCTCTTGTTAAGTGAGAATACGTTCAGTCTGCTTCTAGATGTCCCACTTATGGTAAGTTCTGAAAGAATTTGTTGTCAAGAGCTAAAAAGCTCAAGTGGAGAGGCATAAAGAAAATGTTGCCAGAGAATCTCTCTTCACCATTTTGAGAGAGAGTGTTCAGGAAAGGAAATAGAACCAGCAGCACTGTCTACTTGTAGGCAGAAGTTTACACTGTCATCAAGGAAAATCCATAAAGAAGAAAGTTGCCCAATTAGACGTGCAAAATAAAGGAAAATAAAAAGGACAACCACTAAGTTTCAAAGGAAAGCAGGAAATACAGAACACCCAGGCCGATTTTCTTATTCTCTGCATAGGGAAAACAAGAGTAAAAGTCTGTAGATCACCAGACCACAAAGTGCCACAGCCAGGCCTGATAGGGAAGACTGAGCCCATCCCAGAGGTCATGGACTTGGAGCCAGATGAGACCTTCAAGTACCTATTTAATCTGACACATGAAAATACTAATTTAAACAGTAGAAAATGAGATGTGACACAAAGAAGTACTGGTATGACCCAGAGTACTGGATCTAGGGTAATATCTTAATTTTAGTTTAAGTTCTAACACTCATAATCTATGTAACCTTGAGTAAGTCTTTTCTCTGAGCCTCAGTTTGTCATCTGTCAAAGAAAGAAACTGAATTATATGAACTTGGAAATAACACAGTAATATAATTCTAAGGTACTTGATATTACAAGGATCATTTAAAAATGTATTAGCCAGGCACGATGGTGCACACCTGTAATCCCTGGAATTGGCTGGAGAAGCTGAGGTGGGAGGATCACAAATTTAAAGCCAGCTTCAGCAACTTAGTGTAGTCCTAAGCAACGTAGTGAGATCCTCAGTGGTTAAATGTCCCTGGGTTCAATCCCTAGTATCAAAAAAAAAAAAAAAAAAAAGCATAAGTGTAGTCTAACTGCTGTAACAAACATCCCCAAATCTCAATGGCTTAATAAATTAAGAATTTTTTTCATGTCACAATCCAATGGCTGATACATGGTGATGGTGGTAACGTTGGGTGTCTGCTTGGTGGAGAGATACTCCCACACAGTTATTTAGAGGCTGAAGGTCCTGCCAACAGTCTTTGAGTAGCTCTATTATCACCTACTAGTACTTCTGGGTTTTCTCCAAGATCTTTACTTAGAGCCAGCAACCACAGAAAGAGAGTGCAGAGGATGGTGCTGGAAATTGTTTTAGGTCGCAGGCCTGGGATATATAATTTCCACCAATAGTCCATTGGCCAAAAGTTTGTAACATGTTGTACCTAACTGCAAAGGAGTTCTATCTAGCTATGGGCTCAGGAGTAAAAGGAAAAACAATTTAGTGAACAGAGAGGTCTCTGCTACAGTTGGTTCTTCCGATCACCTAATATTGGCTTTGCTGTTCCTCCCCCCATGGAGAATACGGTACTCTAGTCTCAAAGGAGGAAATCCAAGGTTATATCCTGCTCAAAGTACACGATATCTGTTATGCTCAGTCTTCCCTATCAGGTTTGGCAGTGGCACTTTGCTGTCTGGTGACCTATGAACTAAGCAAGTTATATATACTACCCCCATGCCCCAATGTGATTGTAAAACAGGATGGCCTCAATAAAATTTCCCAGGGGTGAAGGGAAGAATGGGAGTCACAGCAGTCAGCAGGCCATAGTATTCTAGACTACCAATGAAGGTATACTATCAAGGTCACTTTTATAGGCTGGATGTGATTTGAATGTTCCCCAAGGATCCATTGTGATTAAAGGCTTGGTCTCCAGGATGTACTATTTTGGGAAGTAGTGAATCCCTTGGGAGGTCCTTAGGACTTTGGATATGTAAGGTATTTCTCATGCAACGCCTTTGGGTAGTTCTCCTGAGTGGGTTGTTACGTAAGAAGCAAGCCTGGCCCTGCCGGTCCTTTCTCTCTGCTTCTTGGACAGACATGCTCCAACACACACTCTTGCCATTGCCACCTATAATTCACCAAGAGGTCTCCACCAGAAATAACCTTACGTAGGCACCATGCCCTTAAGCCTCCAGCACTGTGAGCTAAATAAACTTTCTTCATAAGTAGTCTGTGTCAGATTTTTCATTATGATGGTGAAAAGTGCATTAACACAGTCATATCGGTTTTCTATTGCTGCATAACAAATCACTACAGATTTAGAAGCTTAAAGAAACACCCAGTTATTATCTCAGAGTTCCTGTGGCTCAGAGTCTGGGTGGGCTGTAGCTGAGCTCTGCTCTGGTTCTCACCAGACTGAAATCAAGATATCAGCTGGGGTAGGCTCTTTACTGGAGATGCTGGGGAAGAATCCACTTCTAAATTCATTCAAGTTGATGGAAGAATTCATTTCTTTGAGTTTATAGAAATAAGATCCTGATTTCCCAGAGGCTCTTCAGTTTCAAAACAGTGATTTTTTTTTTTTAGCTTGCAGAATTGAAGGAGTTTTTCAGTCCTTCTCATCTCTCCAATTTCCACTCCTAAACAGAGCAAGCTCTCTGCTTTGAAAGGCTCATGTAACTACACTGGGCTCACCTGGATAATCTTCTATGTTAGGTTCAACTTACCATATAATGTGAAAGTTACGACATAACTTAAAGAGTTATATCTCATTTTCAAATGCTCTAGGGATTGGGGTGGGGCATCTTTGGGAACCCATTTTAGAAATTCTGCCTACCACCGTGACCTGCCCTTGATTAGCTCCTGATTCTACGTTGAAACTCCAGTGTCCACTGATCTCTGTGGCCCTTGTTTTCTTTCTAGGAGGCCTTTCATCATATATCTTTATTGGCCATATTTGAAGCAGCTATTATGGAGCACACCTTCTCACTGGCCTGAGCGCTGGATCTCAATGGTGGTTTTTCTGAAGAGGCTTTCAGATCTGGCTTATGTTTCTTTGTAAATATGATTCCCTCACAAATATAGATTTATGATCTATTTGCTTCCATGTTCCAATAATCATAGCCCAAATCCTCTGTCAGGATTATTTTCTAAATCTGTTTCTGCTTTACCTGTCCCAATACTTTCTTGTGGCTAACCTAACTTCGTTTGGAACCACTAATGGGAGAGCCACATCCTGCATCTATTCTTTTCCATAAGGCTAAGTTGGTCTGTTCAACTGAGACATTTTAGTGGTTCTTTTTCTCTCTAACTTGTATTTAGTTTGTTTGGGATATAGAAGGAATCAGGTTTTCTAACCCTTAAGTCCCTACAAGTTCTCTATATTGTTTTTTTATTTCTGCTTCAAAACAGGCAATTCTTTCCTAAGTACTTCTCTTTCTTTCTTTTTTTATTTTGGTCTTTTATTTCTTTTTTTTTTAAGTTACTTTTTTAGTTGTTGATGGGCCTTTTTAAAAATTTATTTACATGTGGTGCTGAGAATTGAACCCAGAGCCTTACACATGCTAGGCAAGTGCTCTACCACTGAACCATAACCCCAGCCCCGCAAGTGCTACCTTTTCTTGAAATAGCTTGACAAAGGCAGCCAATAGAGGCTCACATATTCCAATGCTTCTGTTCTTCCACTCACTTCTTCTAGAATTATAAGGTACCCATGGAATGCCTTTCAAATTATTATGGGTAGGACTTCACCAAATGTTTTTGTTTTATTCACAACATGGGCCATTATCTTTCCAGCTCCCCAAATTAGCTTGTTGTTCAATACTTGACTGTTAAGCCACTTTCTCAAATTTTAAAATTTTATTATAAAACCACCCCTATTTCAGGTACAAATATATACATTCTTCAGGATAGGTAAGTTGCTGTAACAAACTTTCTTGATTTTTAGTGGCTTAACACACTAAACTTTTACTTCTTACTCATGTCACAGTTTGATGTTGTAAGTACTCATCAGAGACCTGCTCCATTCAGGGGTTCTGCTTATCTTATCAGGCTTCAGACGCCTCCTCAGAATCCTCTGATTTTGAGCAGTAGAAAAGAGAATGAACAAAGTGTGGAATATTAGGAAGAAGAGTTTGTTTTTAGGACACTAGATACACATGGTCAAACATTCCCCTGAGAGGGGTTGGAGGGGTAGGGAGGGGGCATGGGGTTAGAAATGATGGTGGAATGTGGTGGTCATTATTATCTAAAGTACATGTATGAAAACATGAATTGGTGTGAATATACTTTGTATACAACCAGAGATACGAAAATTGTGCTCTATATGGGTAATAAGAATTGTAATGCATTCCACTGTCATATATAAATTAAAAAAAAGAAAAAATGGAAATAGGGTTGGTGAAAACTTAGTAGTTTCTATCACATAGTAAAATATATTAATGAAAAAAATCATATACGAGGAAGAAACAGGAAACTAGAATCAGGAATGGGCAAAGAATGAAGGACAGGAATTGATCCAGCCCCTGTAAGGTAAACTCATATTACAATGACCCAATGGTTGCCTTAATGGTTTGGATATGAGATGTTCTTCGATTAGCTTATGTGATAGATAATGCAGGAATGTTCAGAGGTGAAATGAATATGAGAATTGTGACTTAATCAATTGATGAATTATTGATGGATTAATAATTTGAAAGAATTATTCTACAGGGTGGTAACTGTAGGTAGGTGGGGTATGGCTGGAGGAAGTAAATCTCTGGGAGTGTGCCCTTGGGGATTATATCTTGCTCCCCTGACTTCTCCCCTCTCTCTGTTTCTTGGGCACCCTGAACTGAGTAGCTTTTCTCCATTACACTCTTCTGCCATGATGTTCTGCCTCACCTCAGGCTGAGAGCAGCGGAGTTGTTGACCATGTACTGAGCCTCTGAAACTGTAAGCTGAAAATAAATCTTTTCTCCTCTAAATCCTCTAAGATGTTACTGTCAGGTATTTTAGTCACAGTGACAAAAAAACTGACTAACACAGCTGGGGACCTCTGGCTTGGTTCTGGGAGGAACTCATATCCAAAGGAATCCTGTTCAGGTTTGGAATAAGACTGTGGCTCCACTCCATAAAATGAAGAGGCATTTGGCTGCTGCCAAAGGTTTAGAAATGTGCTTTTATTTTTCAAACTCAGGTATGTGACTCTTTATAGTTCAATGCTAACACACCTGTGTGAGGCTTAACAACATTAGCAACTGACAGCCAGTGATACACAAATCCAGCGTCTCCCTTCCCGTTTGACTCTGCCAGGCTGTTCATGGGGAGCAGCACACACAACTTTGCGGCAGCCAGAAAGTGAAGGTCTTTCAGGAGGTGAGGTCAACAGTGATGCAAACCACACATCACTTTGCAACTGAAGGTAGGCAACCAGACATCTAAGGCTCAGCAGCAATGTCAGAGGCATTTTGAGGGGAACTTTATTTCAGATCCATGTCATATTAGAAATACAGGTCTTCTTCCCTTTCACAACTGCTTTGGCAGCAGATGCAACTACTTCAGGTTGATCTTTGCTTCCAGAAAAAAACAGACTGATGAGTACTTTTTCAGCCATGCCTATGTAAATATGGCTACCCTTGTGCTCCCTTTTGGAGCATCCTCTTCCTCAACTTTCCTAACTCACAAATGGAGTATTGTGGACGAGGGCTTGTGTCTCAAGTTCTCTGAAGGCCTTTCTGTGGGGGAAGCTGGAGGTGCAGAAGCTCTCAGCACCAGCTCTCCTTGCCTTGTCTCACCTGGAAACAGGGATGGGAACCTTATGCCAAGTGGGCAATGGGCCAACTCAGCCTAGTCCTTCTTTATGGGGGGCTGACATTGGATGTTGGCCACTTAGAGTCTTGTTCTAGAGCTGTTCTCTCTGGATCTCCATTCACAGCCTGCCTTTGGCTCTGAGGGCCTTGTGTAACTAAAGCTTCTTCAGTTTTATCTGTGCCTATTGGAAGAGACCAGGTAAACCATCCACCCATGCCTCCAAAGTCCCTCTACTTTGTTCTGCACCTCTTTACCTTAATGGCACATCCTTGGTCAACCCTGGTTTGGGCTTCTCTCTCAGTCATTTTCCAGCCACTGTAAAGGACACCCCCTTCAATAAACATGCAGTTTTAAAGTGGGGTCTAGTCTAAAGGTGACTATTTGAAGGGAGTGATTGTGTTGAGCCCATCCTTGAACTTGGAAACAGTGTTGCTGCTGGCCTGGTTGCATTCCTGCTCTTCACAGAATAGCCTGAGAAATATTAAAACAATCTCAGGTCAACAAAAATGTGACTCTTCTTGTAGAGATGGAGGTGGTGCTGGTGCTGGTACTGGGAAAACTGCAAAAATCTCAGCAGTCCCAGGGTGCTCTCCACCACCTTAAATGTTCCACTTCTTCTTTTGACCAATATTTAATGACCCCCTCCCAAGCATCAGCCACCATGTTAGGTACCTACCCAACAGATGGGTAAGACATGGTTCTTGTCTTTGAGGAAAAATGCTTGGAGGAACAGATAATAGAAATAAATTATGGTGATAGATGGTGGGTATAGGTAAATAATGAAAATACTTAAGAGCCAGAAAGCATAGAGGGTATGAACCATTATGTTGGGTGTGGGGAGAGTGTGGGAAAAAGGTCATTAAAGCCTGTATGGATGGGGCAATTTTTGCACTTGGCCCTCAAGAGTGAACAAAAGAAAAGAAGAGCAAGAGAAAAACTAATGACTGGAGCTCTAGAACAGGATAATTTGGGAAGCAATTGTTTGGGAAACAGCCATAGTTTGGGAAGCAGAGGTGCCTTGGAAGAGCTGAAGGACCAATTGGGTGAGTGAGACTGGGAGGACAGGCATCCAGCTAGGAGACCACTGGAGAAGCAATATAGTGCGGGGGTTAAGGGTATAGTCCCTGGAAACAGTCCACCCTGTTTGGAGAGCTAGCTCCATGATTTACTAGCTGTGTGTTCTTAACAAGTTACTTATCTTTTTTTGGGCTTTAGTTTCCTTATCTGAAAATGGAAAGAATAATATCCATCTCAGAGGGTTTTTTTTTTCCCTTGAGGACTAAACGAATTAATATTCTCATATAATACTGAGAATAGTTCTTGGCTCAGAGTAAGTTCTATATGAATGTTGGCTGCAAAAGTAAACAATAGCAAACAAAACCTAAGGCAACCACATAGAACCCATACTGAAGCCAACACCCACCACCACTATCAAACTGATGAGGGCTGATGAAGGCAGTGGCTGAAAATGGGGGAGTGACATCAAACTGGAGATTTACTCCTTCAGCTCTGCGCTGAACAATTGGGAATGCTCTAGAGCATATGCGAGGTTTGGAAATCTCGTTGCAAAGGAAGCCCAAAAGTGCAATTTCCCCCTTTCATGTGGCCCCCCTAGAGCGAAAGCTTGAAGCTGAAAGCACACCATTTCTCCTTGCTCACTTGAGAGGTGGGTTAACTACTTTCAAAGGGAGAGAACAAATAGGGAACAGACTGTGCTGTACAGCAGCTTAGAGTTGGCATCTGACATGGAGACCAGCAAGTCTGCCATAGAAGCCACAAGTTTTCAGTGTTTTTCAAACATCTCCATTCTGTGTGGATAGTTCACTGTACAGGTGCTGTGACTGCCCCACACTGAGTGAAAATCTATGGGTTGGCTTGACACGCATCATATTTCTTTAGAGCACACTTTTGGAGGGTTGTTGGCTTCGTGCACACACGTGTTGTGGGTGTTGTGTTTGTGTATAGATGCACAGACCTTGATTTGCATCTTCCCGTATTTCATTTCAAGCACTGAGCTAAATCCGGCCTGTCCATTTTTCTGAGAAACCTTTCCTATTCTGTGAAAAGAAACTGATTCTGAAGGGGAGAAAGAGAGGCCAAAGGAGTGTTATGGAAAATGAGATGGGAATTGGGAAGATATTCACGTGTGACTCAGAATTCTAGGTCTGACTCTTAGGGCCAGTGTTAGCTGTTAAGCACAATTCTTCCTGGTACCCAACTGCTGAGAGGAAAAGGGGAGAGTGAGCTTCTTACTGTCCCCCAGTGAAGGTGTATTCATTCTCCCTAGCCATCTGAGCTAGGATCAGGAGACCTTCCCTTTGCCTAGACTTCCTTGGTGACAGTCACTTTTTCATCCACCAGATGCTTTTCCAAGCAGGTTTGTTGATCCTCCAAGAACATCAAGTTACTGTGGTCTGAATAATTCCCACAGTGGTGCCAAGTGTGAAGAGAAGCCCTCCTCATCCCCCAACGGGAGGGGTGGCAGGACATCCAGGGACCTGAACCTGATGCGCTAGACTTGGGGACAAGGTGGTGGCTGATGTCCTGGAGCAGGGCATTGGCTAGGAATCAGGTTTCCTACTGCTCTGTAGGCTGCTCGTGCTGGAGTCCTGAGCTCCACCAGGAGTCCCTTTGGGCTGCTGAGCAAGTGGATCTTCCAAGGGGCCCGTCAGCCTGCTCCACACAAGAGTTATAGGAATTGTAGAGTCCCAGCACAATAGTCAAGACCAGCATCACAGCAGCCATCATCCAGATCACTTGCCAGTGCTGACACAGTTTGGGATACATGACTTGTAAGAAATGGACCAATTCTTCAAGTTTGCTGTCAATGAAAAAACAGGTGGAGGGCTTAGTATATTGGGCCAATGTATGATGCCCAGACCCATGCTCTCTCTCTGGGGATTCCTCCTATGCTATCCAGAGCAGTGGTTCTCAGCTATGCATGGATCTTGACAGCAATTTTTCAAAATACCTCAGGCCTAATGAATGAGAATCTCCAGAGTTATGGTCTAGGAATCTATAGTCACATTTCCCTAGATGGTTTTGACACCACTGGTCTATAGCATTGATGGTGAGAGCTACTGGTCAGGAACATTCTATTACTTGTTTGATCATTCACCCATCCACACATGCTCTCATCTATTCATGGGATGATCACTGATATCTGCATTCTCTTGAGCCCCAGAGTGCAAGGTTGGCTGATCCATACTCCCATGGATCAGATAGCACCAGCATGCCACTGCTCTTAGCTTTATTAGCGATCTGTTCCAAGTTCTAACCTGTACCCTGCATCAGTGCTAAGAAGCATAACTCATTGTTCTCAGTTCCATCTCCAGCTGTGTCCAGAGTGGACGAACTGTGCTAAGCTCTTAAAAGCAGCTTGATTTTCTACGAGAAGGCCTGTTGCTGAGAAGTAGGGAGCTCTAAGGCAGAGTTAGTAGAGAGTGGAAAACTTGCCATGAATTGAAAAACTCAACTCCTTAGAAAGGGGCCAAATGCTCAGAATGTTTGCCTCCCATATTAAGGCCATAGGGAACAGTGATTTGTTTCTTGTACACATGAGAACCCCATCAGATCATTTCAGGCACAATTTAGCAATAAAAAAAAGAGCATGCTGGCTGATATGAAAACTACTAGCTATTTTCACAATTATTGAGAAGGTAGAGCTTGGAATTGCAAGCCTTATTTCCTTTCAGTCCTATTTAGATTCTTTTGATCCTATTAAGATATGACTGGATGCCAAAATGGAGTCACTCTTTGGAGCTATATTTTCATGCCCCCAAACAGGCTACTAGAGTGGGAAGAATCCCACCCTAACCCTATGTTAAAGTGAGACTACAAAGGAGGTTAAGTCCTGGCTTTGATGGTGCACACCTGTAATCCCAGCAATTCAGGAGCCTGAGGCAGGAAGACCGCAAGTTCAAGGCCAGCCTCAGTAACTTAGAGAGGCTCTAAGCAACTTAGTGAGATCCAAAAATAAGGCATAAAAAGGACCGGTGATGTAGCTCCATGGTAAAGCACAACTGGGTTCAACCCCCAGTAGCAAAAAAAAAGACCTGACTTTGTGACCCTTAGGTAGTTATCCATTTCTGGTCTATAAGAGAAGTCAGAGATTAAATTAGGTTAGCATGATCAAATTGTATTTTCATGTATGTATGAATATGCCACAATAAATTACCCATCATCCTGCACAATTGAGATGCAACAATAAAAAGTTAGATTAGAAAAAGAATTCCTATGGAAGTCAATTTTTTTTTATTGTTGTAAATAAACTTGTTTTCTTAGAGTTAAGGGTAAAATAAAGGAACCTGTCTAAATATCATTTTAACCTTGTAGAGTGACTTGAAAAAAATGTCAGGAAAAAGACAAAGTTTCATGTCACACATCATAAGTCTCAATTGTTCAATGTCTTATCAATGTCAGACGTATTCTCTGTTTGAATATTGTTAAGATGTTGGATTGACTCACCCACACTTCCTTTAAACCAATCCTCCAGAAAGCAATGCTTACATTATAGCATATAACAGAGTAGAAACTCAGAAAAAAAAAGACACTTGTGTTTCATGTTTGAATTTCTATAAGGGACCAGCTGCTGGACTTAGCTTTTATGTTTTTAAAATGCACTAAAATAGGACGTGGAATTTTTAATAACTTCCGACCTGGCTTGTGAGTGAGGTACCAAAGTTTCATGGCCACCGGATCATGTTTGAGAGCAGGTGTCTGCAGGCAACTGTGTGTCTAAGAGGCTCAGGTGGACAAGGATCACCTGGCATTGAAGACAACGGCTCTTGAGGCTAATATGATAGCAACCTCAGCCCTTATGGACAGGATGACACCACACTGCTAGGCCTGAAAAGGTGAAGCTACATCCTTGTGCTGAAGGACATAGACCCTTCTGAGGGCTGTGCTCACGCCTGGTATCTGTCACCTGATGAACAGGTCTATTCTCAAAACCAAAGAGCAAATCCAAGGGGGAGCAGAAGTTGGGAGACAGAACAAGCTCTCTCAGGATCAGGATGATCAAGAGGACACTCTTGTGGGCTGGGAATGTGGCTCAGGCGGTAGCGCGCTCGTCTGGCATGCGTGCGGCCCGGGTTCAGTCCTCAGCACCACATACAAACAAAGATGTTGTGTCCACCTAGAACTAAGAAATACATATTAAAAATTCTCTCTCTCTCTCTCTCCTCTCTCACTCTCTCTTTAAAAAAATTTTTTTTTAAAAAAAGGACACTCTTGAGTGATGGATGCTACAGGTGGTCATTGCCAAGTACTTATAACCAGCTGGCATAAATGGATGCCAGGCAAAGCCTTATTTCCCCTGTCATGAAATGGAAGGGGGATGACAATTGCCTGAGATCGAAATAAGCTAGATAAATCCTGCGTGTGCTTTGTAAACCAGACTGTTTATATTCCTTGTACTCGCTCTGTTTATTCCTCTTTTTTTTTTTTCTCAGTGTTTGGTAGTGTTAGAAGTTCTAGCCTGTCTTCACTGTATTCAGGATGCCAAAGGAAGGGCTTGTCCGGACTTGATGACATTAAAGAGAAGAAAGGCAGTGGGATGGCCTAAAAGATAAAATCAGAGGACCCCCAAGAAGGAGGAGCCGTAAGGAGAACAGCATCCAGCTGCCTGAGGTTCCTTCAGGAGAGGCCATGTGTCCCAGCATTGGGGAAGCACTTCCCCAGCTCTGCTAGATGCCATTTCCCTTGAGCAATGAGGTTGACTCAGGCAGGCTGGACTCTCTTGGTTGAATCTTTCCTTGGTTTTGGATTGTTCCTGAGGCGGGCTGAAAAATGAGCTGATCATGACTAGGCTGATAGGGAGTCTACTCAGGATCCTTTACTCTCTCTCAGCTTACAAGAGCTCTTGATTGCTGTCTGTCCTGCCCATGACCACCTCTGACCCCTCAATTCTTGCAAATATTCCATTGTGAACTATTTTTTGCTCTTAATTTCCTCTACCACCTCTCCATCTTGAGTGCCCTCTGGGTCTCTCGGTTGGCCATGCTGGGGCCCCAGACCTACTACTGCCCTGGACTGACATTTCCAGAGATTTTTGTGCAATTCGGCAAATAAATGAATCGTAATTTTCAGTAATCTCAGGTCTCCACACACAGCTTCCCACCTGCTTCTTGGGTCCTTTTCCTCTTCCTCAGTTTCTTCTGCCTCCTCAGGTTCCTCAGGACTCTCACTCTTCTGTTCTTCTTCTTCTTCTTCCTTCAGGCCTTGAAGTTCTTTGGTCTTCTTTAGACCTTCCTGATATCTGGAAGGCAAAAAGGAACAACGGGGTCTGGAAGGGCCAGGCATGGAGGAGCATCCTTTCCTGAGTTCCTAGGGGAGGGGACTTGAGCACCTCCATTAATGATGCACTTCCTGCGATCCCACACAACAGGAAAAAGCTGGGAAGCTCCACCGAACCCCAACGTGGCTCATGTCAGTACAATTTCCCCTCACTCCTCAGTCATCCTTCCTGTTTATGTGACACTGTGACAAACTGACAGGGGAAAAAAAAAAAAGGCGGGCACAGGGTCTCCTGGATTCTTATCCTACAAAACATACTGTAGAGATAAGATTGCATTTGTTCTCTGTGTAACCCTTGGAACTTCATCTTCTCGTCGGTAAAACAGAGAGGGTGATCCCCATCTCAGAGGGCACAGGACAGTTTTCAGAAGTGCCAGGGCTCAGCCTAGAGGGGTAGTCGGTAAATATTCACAAAACCAATGGAGGAGTTTGCCCCCACACATTCTGAGGGTAGATAACAGTTGTAGGTGAAAAGATAGGCTTTCCTGGAGAGAACTTTCTGATTTCCTTCTCCCAGGATCAGTATTGTCCTGAACATATGTTTCCTTGTCCTATAGCATGGTGCTGAACTTAGTGATTTGGCTGGAGCAGTCCTCCCACTATGTGTGACTGCCACACAGAAGCTCCAGAGTTCTGATGGGCAGGAAGCTGCATCTCCCTAGGGAGCTGTGGGGGCATCAAGCCAGGTTGGAGGTGATTCTCTATCTTGGGGTCTGGATAGTCATCTCCCCAGTGACTAACAGTTAGCCTTAGGTGCTCCTGAAGCTCAGTTAGAGAGAAGGGGATGGTTGGAAGCTGGAGGGGACTCTAGTTTAGAGGAGGAGGGGATGACAGGGCAGTTCTAGGAAGCAGAGTTGCAGCTGCCCCTGGGTAATGGTTGGTAGCAACTTGGCTGCTTCTCGCATGTGTTGGGAAACCTCAAGCACCACCAAGAGGAACCTACCCTGAGCCCCTGATTTCCAGATCATTCCCAGCAGTAGTATTCAAGCCTAAAAAGAGAGCAGTCTATTATTGCCTAACCACACCCTCCTTCCCAGCTTCCTTCTGTTCTTCCTGTGGAATAGTCTTACACTTTTCCTACGGGGTCAGGAGGCCCTGGGGTCACTGGTTGCCTCCCCAAAACCTCTTAGGAAAAGAAAAGGCCCGTGGGAAGGTATCTTCTGACATCTGCCAGGTGCCCCCGGGCTGGCCGAGGTCTGACTCACCCCTTGTTGTAGGCTTCTTCCTCCACCCTGGCCTTGGTCTCTTGGCTAATCTCCTCCAGGCAGCTCGGGGGTGGCACAGGAGCAGAGGCTTCACAATCTGGCTCCCCATTTGTCTTTCCACTAGAGGGAAGGGGGAAGCACGGGGTGTCATTTTAGGGAGAGGTTGAGCATCTGCAGACAAAGCCATGTCTTTGGCCTGATTCCTGATTACAAGTAAGAAAATCAGATCTTTCTTTAGCTTTTAGATTTTTTAAAAAATCCTTCTGCTCTGAGAAAAGATTTTATGAAGTTCTACTCTATGAATCTTTCCTAGACCATCAAAAACTGTACCAGCTTCTCTTCTCATGTGCCCAAATCCACCTTAATTCTTATTCCAGGGGGTGCTATAAGTGGACAGATTCAGAGCTTCACAGCACTGAGATGAGGAAAGTGAGGGTGAATTAAAATATTCTCATGACCTTATTTACTCTTTCAAACAGCTACTGAATATAACTAAGTTGCAGGCAATTGCAATGTGCTTAGAACATATTAGGAAATAACAAAAGGAGAGCTGGTTGTGGTGGTGTATGCCTGTAATCCCAGTGACTTGGGAGGCTGAGGCAGGAGGATCACAAGTTCAAGGCCATCCTCAGCAATTCAGCAAGACCGTGTCTCAAAAGAAAAAAGGCTGGAGATGTAGCTTAGTGGTAAAGTGCCCCTGTGTTCAATCCCCACTAACAAAAAAAAAGAAAAGAACAAGATGGTTTTTGCTATTGTGGAGCTTCTCAGAAGAGAAAGACTCCCATCTCCATTCCCTCTCCCCCAAAAAAGGAAAGAAAAAATTTGTAATTTACTACATTATGATACTTATGAAAGAAACTATGTAGTGACAGAAAATAATGAGAGAATGTGTTTAGAGTGAATGGTCAGAAAAGGCCTCTCTGAAGTGCTGAAATCGAAGCACAGGCCTAAAAGATAAAAGTGCAGCTTTGTCTATGGCACACAAAGATCATCCTAGGTAGAGGATACAGAATATATAAAGACTGATGGGCTGGGGATGTGGCTCAAGCGGTAGCGCGCCCACCTGGCATGCGTGCAGCCCGAGTTCGATCCCCAGCACCACATACCAACAAAGATGTTGTATCCACTGATAACTAGAAAATAAATATTGAAATTCTCTCTCTCTCTCTCTCTCTCTCTCTCAAAAAAAAGATTAAAAAAAAAAAGAAAGTTACAGAATATATAAAGACTGAAAGCACAAAGGTGCTGGGACATTGGAGTTGCTGCAAAGAGTCATCATGGTGGGAGTTAACTTTTGGAAAAGATAAAGTTGCTGTGAATGTGAGGTATTCAAATGGAGAGGTCAAGAGGACAATTGTTCCTGCCCAAGTGAGGCACAGAAGAATTCTCAGCTGGAGATGTACATTGACATCATCAGAATATAGGTGATACTTAAACCTACGGGATTGGATAAGATTGCCTGGAGATAGCATGAGGAAAGATAAGAAAGGACCTGTGGACCAAATCCCTAGTATCTCCTCACTTAGGTGGAGAAGGAGGAACCCCCAGAGGCAATCCAGAAGTAGTTACTGGAAAGGCAAGAGAGAGCAGAAGAGTGTGGAGCCTTGGGCACTAGGAATGGAGACAGTGTTGCAAGGGAGAGTTCACTGTATCTCCCTGTATCTTCAGAGTCTGAAGGGACAAAATGACTATAGATATGATAGTACAGAGGTCAAGAGGAGCCTTGAGGTAAGGGTGGGAGCCAAGGACAGATCGAGTGGTTTTAGGAAGGAAAGGGAGGTGAGACAGGCAGAGACACAGGCATTTAACTCAGACGAGGACAGAGGAGTATTTTGGAGGAAGCAGTTAGCCCAAGAAGTGGCCATGAGTCGATATCACATTTGAACATCAATAATCCAGTAGAGGGATTTTTTTTTTTTTTTAAAAAAAGGGATGACCAAAGGAGCAAAATCTTTGACTAAAGTAATGAAGACTTCTCCTCCAGGCAGTTCAGCGGGTGGCTCAGGAGCAGAGGCTTCACAATCTGGATCCCTTGGTCACAACAGAGGGAAGAAGAAGATGGAGACATCTTGGGGCTCTAGTGAGGGAAGATGAGAGGGCTCCTACTGACAGGCAGCTTAAATGTCTCATAAAGAGGGAGGTTATTTACTGAGAGCGAGAGATAGAGGGCCCTAAAAAAGTTGGAGGAAACAGAAAGTATAAGAGTCATGTGGGAAATTAGGAAAATAAACGTATTAGAAAACCATGGTAGGTCGGCTGAGCAGTGCTGAGTCTTTATTTAAAGTACTTAGAGATCAGGTTTCAAGGCCATGCCTTCCCTACACATCCTGCAGCCCACTGAGGCATCCAGGATCCCGATGGGAGGAATGTTGTCATGGAGGAACCATCAAACAAGGCAAAACTGTGAGCAGGGCTTTCCAGCCAGGACTCTGAGAGATTGCAGCTGCCATCCCTCCCTGACCTCAGGCAGGGTTTATGAGTGAACCTTGTATCTGCTCCTCATTCTTGGCATCAGTTTCCCATCTCTTAGTTTTTCCCTTAGACCTTGTAGGATTTACATTTCATCAGACTGGAAACCAAAACCCATTGTGGACAAGAAAGATAACACTCTAAAAATACCAGTTATTCATAACATTTCTCCTTTTGCAAATTACATTATCCACTCCCTTCCATGTGACCTTTGCCTAATGTGCAGTTTCCTATTTGTCCAAATGACTGGAGCAAGAGAAGAAAAACATAGCTACCGCCAAGGGCAGGGACAGTTATTCTTTTAAGATATATATTTACATATTAGATATTGCTATCACACTTTTTCTTTTCTCTATAGCTACCAAACCCTTAGAGGTTTATTAAAGTTAAGAAAGTTTGAAGGAGGACAATGCAGTACAGGGGAATAGAAGGCAAGCCTGGGTCCAGATCCCAGCTCCAACACATGTGAGTTACTTAGCCTTCCTAAACTGCAGATCCTCAGCTGTAAAGTGGGGGCAATAATACATACTTGATGGTGGTGGTGTTAGAGTTAATGGAGAAACATAAGTTTACTTTCTGGAATATGGCACTGGACAAATGATATCTATTAGTATTATTGTTACTGTTATTCAGTTGATGTATCGGTAAATGTTGGGAGCAAGCTGAGCTTCCTTCAAACCTCATCCAGTAAAAGAAAATCAAAGCTGATAAGTTACCAGGTGATTATTTTACATCTTCAAGGGAGAACTTGAGATAGGTTACTCTGACAACTCAAAGTCATGGGAACCCTAAATGTGAACTAATGTTAGGTATGGTATAATTTACATGAAATTTACCTAAGATTGCTTTAAAATTTTCTCAGTGCATGACTATCACATACCATAGCACACACACCTTCGAGTTTTGCTGACTACATGATCATAAATCTTATAGTCCTTGGGCCACCACTGCTCTCTAGAGACAAACTTCCTTGGTAGAGCCTGGAAGTCCATTTTATTCACCCTTCAACATGGACCTTCTGTGCTTCTGTCCATTTCAGCTCCCTTATGGGACTTTCATATAAGTTCTCTCCCTTGATCTTCCCAATGACAAGAAGAGCTAACACTATACCAGGCTCTGTTCTAGGAGTTCACTTAGGACTCATGGATGATACTATAAGAGATTACTGTTCTCAGTTTGAAAAGTGAAGAAACCAAGTCTCAGAGAAGTTAAATGACCAGCTCCAAATCAAACTGGACCCTGTGTAGCCCAACACCTGCCCATGCTTTTGATTGCACCATCTGCCACCAGGCAAGACGTGATCCCACCTGACAGACAACAAACCCAAGCTTGGGTTGAGTATGTGCCTTGCCTACAAGTCACATTATTGTTGCTGGGACTCTCACTTTGGTCTTCTAAATTTGTGTCAAGATGCATTTCCAAGTCTCCCTGAGCCTCTCTTTCAGTAGAAGTCTTTCCCTGGAGCTCTGAGTAGTGTGTGGGCTCCAAGGTACCTGCTGAGTTAAGCCATCCCCACCTGCAGGCTGGAGCACAGCCAGCGATGCTGTGTTTCTTTCACAGGCTGCAGGTTCGGAGTGTGGAGGACCTTTGCTTCAAGTGGGACAAGAGCAATAGGATTGGAGGTGGGGCAGACACATTATATGAACACTGTTCACTGTCATCTCCTAACCTCTAGACTGAGCTTGTAGTTCCCTACATATCTTCTCCAACTCCCTAGACATTTATCCTTACACATCTTTACTACTCAGCTCAAAACCTCCTCTATGAAGCCTTTGCTGATGTTCTCCCTTCCTCCCCCCCCCCCACGCTCTGGTTAAAGTTGATCTCTCCCTCTCCCTCTGCTTTCTCACCCCTCCCCATGACACCATGACACCACGGCTAAGACACAGGGCATTTTTATATTCCTGCGCATTCCTCTGTATGACTGTTGCCATGGGGGGAGGGACTGTGTTTGAGTCAAAATGATGCTTGGCATACAGCAGGTACCCTTGGGTGTTTGTTGAGTTGCTCTGTCTTCTTCAAGATGTATCTATCCAGTCTCTGTCTACCAATCTTCTGAAAATGGGCTGGTCCTCTCTGTGTTTCCTGAGAACCCAGTGTTTGGGTTGGGCTAAAGGAATCTTTCCATGTCTATAAATGAGTGCTGAGCACAGCCTGTGCCTACACAGGGATTTTCTGGGCCAAATACTCACAGATCTTGGCATCCATCCCCAGCCTGAAATCCTATGTACCTTCTTTTTTGGGGTGATTCATTAAAATGAAGCTCATTGTTCTCACATGTCTACCAGGTCAAAGTGTTTGTCAGTATCCTGAGTTCTTAGTAAAGTGAGGGGCTGTTTAGTCAAAATGTGTTGCTAGGCAGGTTTATTACATTCAGTTTTCTCCACATAGTAAACAATATTTGAAAGTGACTACAATCCTTTCCAAAGGACAGATCTTATCTTCCTGGGCTCAGCAATATTTTTAAGCTATCACCATTGCCCTAGCTCACTCTAACAAGGCCAGCTCAGATGACTGGAGTTAGTGGAACTTCTTTATTCCCTTTTATTTGGTCCCAGATTCCTGGGTCCAGGGCCCAACAAGTTTATTGGAAGATAATTTACTCCAGAATACTATGGAGCAAGGGGGAGGGTTGCTCACTGTACAAATTTAATGGCATATGAAATATTTAAATGGTTTACCCTAGTGTTTATCCTAGCTACTACAAAAGTGTTAGAAGATTGTGATTTTAGAGATTTTGATTAAACACTCCACCATGGTACATAGTATACAGGACCCTTTAAGCAACTAGCTTTGTGCATCATCCACATCCTGGCTCTTTTGATCCCCTAGTGATTAGTTCCACACATACCGTGCACCCCGCCCCTCCTCTGCACGTCCGTCCAATCACAAGGTTCTTTTAAAAAAAACAAAAAAAAACAACTCTTAAATCCATCCTCTTCCCAATAGTCACACTAAACTTCCCCTGTTTTTCTAGTGGGAGAGTCTATTAAGAGGTTAAGAGTGTGAACTATGCTGCATGAGTTCAGGTAAGTGATGATTTCTCTGAGCATCAGTTACCTCATCTATAAAATATGTATGGGATTGTTGTAAGGATTAAATAAGATTATCATGTAAATTAATTAGTAAAACACTTGGCACACAAAAAAATGTGCAGTAAATAAAATTATCATCATTATCTCATCATCATCATCATTCCTTAAACACTCCACACCTTCTTGCTTCAGAACCTCCTTCATGTTCGCCTCGCTAATTATATAACCCATAGGTTTCACTTGAAAAGTAATGTTCCCCCTCAGATGCACATTAAAAGTAAGTTCCTAGGGGGAATTTTTCTGAGCCCCTCCTTCCCGCTATCCTACACCCACACTAGGTTAGCTGCTATTTTTTTTGTGTTGCTCCCTTAGCAACCTGTACTTCCTTCCAGTAATACCCAGCACATTGGTGAAATAATAGGCCGTTTCCGATCTGCCTTTCCCACTAGACTGAAGCTCCTTAAGAGCCTTCTATGTGCCTGGTCCACTGTGATTAAATGTCACAAGAATTAAAGAATAAAAGGCTACAAATATTCAGCTCTTCCGAGGTGTGGAACTACTCTTGAGCTTTGTTCTTTTTATTTATTTAAATATTTTTTAAGTTGTTGATGTTTATTTTATGTATTTGTATGTGGTACTGAGAATCGAACCCAGTGCCTCACACATGCTAGGCAAGGGCTCTACCACTGAGCCACAACCCCGACCCAAGCTTTGTTCTTTTTAATCTCTAACTTTGAATACAACTCTCTACCTATGTTTAAGCCCGTGCGTTCCCAGGCCTTGTTGAATGAAGAACAGTTTATCACCAGAGGACTTACAAGACGCAAGGCCCAGAATTCTCTCAAATCACTTTGTGCAGTGCAGTCAGCTTTTGAGAATTTGTGAACTAGCCACAGGCTATTCGATCTTCCTATCACATGCTCAGCCAGGTCCCTTCCTGCTTAATTACTGGATGCATGTGGAATCATTTTAACATGAGGTTGAATACAGCAATCTAGAAAGCACTGGCTACTAAATTATACCACATTATTTTTCTTTAACAGTTTGGACAGGGTAGCTAGAATGGACTGCATCTGTGTCTAGAACAGAAGGTATGAATTCATTTTCACTCACCAACTGTCTCATTGTTAGTTTAAAATGTTTCTAGTTTTATGAAATCTGATGGAAATCTCTTAGCACCTTTTATAAATCTGGAGGGAAAAGCTGCTATTAGTCCCAACCCTCTCCTTTGACTCCTCCTTCCCCTCTTCACAGCATCCTTGCAGGACGGGTTCCCAACAGGGGAGTTAGCCTGCAGCACACATGGTGAGTGGCCATCTCTCTGGTCAGCCCTGGGAGGGAGTGCAGATGCCTTCCTGGGAACCTCTTACTTACCTTACCTTGTTTTTCACTCTAGTTCTTTCTCTCCTGATTCTAAAGTGTGGCAAAGCTGACACCATCATTGATCTTCACTCATTGACATTCTAGATTTGGGGCTGTTGCCTGCCATCCCCGACTTTGTACCCTGGTTTCTCCTACCATCATGTTCTTGATCTCCACTGTTTTGGACAGAAGCTCTCAGCTGCACATTAGTTCTATAGAGTTCAGGCCTTGCTCCATGATGATCAGAGTGTGGGGGAGCATGGGGACCCCCATCTGCCCTGATTGGCTCCGTAGGTCTAGACTTGGGAATGAAGTGGAACTGGTGAAGGGAGGGTTGACAGAGGTTTATGTAAGTCCTCATTCAGAGCCTCAAGGGACCATATCTGGAGAGATTTAGAGTCCATGGGCTAGGCTCTATGACTCCGGGGACTTGGTAAGATTCTGTATCCTTGGTTACTTCACATGGTAGTTAATTTGTCATTTCTTTACACCTTCTCTACAGAGATGGAGAAGAAAGAGGAGGGGAAGGATGCACTGCATACCACGAAGGACCTCCAAGCTCAGGGGGTGATGTGGCAAAGGTGGGAATGCTGGGCAATCTGCAAGATTAACTCAGGGGGGAATCAGTGCATGAGAAGGTGGTGACTGCACAGGCCAAGTCTGAGGTTGGAGAGCTTGGGGACTTGTCTGTACCTGAAAAGGGGCCCAATGTACACATTCCTTGCCAAGTCAAGCAAAACTTTTCTAACAGCAATGGGAAATGAAGGACTAAAGCTGTCTCGGGGCAAGGAACGAGAAAGAATAAGAGAAAGATGCAAGGGGAAAGTTCTGAGAGGTGCCAGCTGTGATCCAGATGTTTTCCACCAAGTAAATGGAAGAATTAGAAAAGTAAGTTATAAACTCCCCTGAGTACATAGAAACAGCCTGTCTCACTCTGGCTGACGATGAAAAGACCTGCGAATTGCATAGGCGCCTAGAGAAGTCAGACAAAACAGACCCCCAGGCTGCCAATGCAGCCCTTCTCTTCCTTCCTCCTAAGAGCAACATGATTCTGTTCAGGAATTTACTCCTCTTCACTGAGTCCTTGTGCTTCAGAGGAAGTTGAATGTCTCCCCAACTCCAAGGAATAGTTTAAGCCCACAATGGCGAGCTCAGTCCCAAGGCCTATAATTGGTTTAGAAAGGGACCATGTTCCCAATTTGCCAATGAGATAAGAGGGAAGACTAAGAAAACCTTTGGGTTCGTTCTTAAGAATGAAATAGGGAAGAAATGGTGCCTGCATTTCCCCAGATAGTGTCCTGTCTGGATGGGATGCCTGGACCTAGCATAACCATAACCATAAGCCTGATGATGAAGTAGCCAGAAGCAAGGAAACTGTAGATCCCTACCTCTGGACTGATATGTTAAGCCCTGCTGAGTTGTGCCTTTCTTGTATCTATAGCCCAAGAATCCTAATCAGCAGCAGAGACTTCCGTTTCTCCTGGGCTCTTAGATTGGATGCACTTGGCCTCAGACATAGCATCTTCCTGGTCTAAGAATTTTACAAAGTGGATTGGAAATCTTTGTGGATCTCAGAGTCCCATTGATTACCCCTAGAACTTAATTTTCTTTTCACTGAATTTTGGGGTTGAGAACGGGAGGAAAGAAGGTAAGCTGGGGAAACTTTCCTTAGGGATCCCCAACATTAAGAGGAAAATCAACAAACTTACTTTTCCAAAAGTGCAGGCAGTGCTGGGGCGACAGGTGGGTTGCCTTTCCCGTTGGGTGATTCCGACTGGATGGGAAACAGGAGACAGAGGATTGAGGGTGAGCCACAGAAGTCAGGGCTGCTGAGCCTCTGCTGACACTGGGGAGGGGCTGTTTCTCTCCCTTCCTCGCTCCCTCCCCTACTTGCCAACCTGCATGGGTGTGCAGGTGTTTACCCTGTCCCTTGGGGCCTTCCCTGAGACATCTGACACTTGCTCTTTTCCTTCTCTTTGTTTCCTTAAGACTTTACATTTTAAGTCTCCATTCTAGAGGGGAGCCCTCGGTTTTCCTTTGTCCCATTTCCTGACTGTGACTGAATGCCAGTAGGCAATGCTGGTCCCTTGTTCCCCGGGATGGGCTCACACAAGCCCACCACTGCCCCTAAATTTACAGCTCCAAGCATGACTCTCAGGAGATGCCTGCCATTACTGCAGGTACCCACCAGCAGGAACACCTTGTATGAACCATTCCCAAGGAGTCCCACCTTGCTCTGTCCCAGAGGGTATGGGCTGCACATTAGGACCACCTGGAAGACAAATGGCCTGGGGAGAGATTTAAAAGTATGGATCCACCCCATGGTCTTGGGGAAGGGGCCTGGGCATTCAATGATTTCAAAGTCCTCTTATGATTTTAATGTACAGCCCTGGCTGCTAACCACTAGTCTAAAGAAATATTTGTAAACCACATTTGCACCTTTAGGTAGAGTATGGGAAGAAATAGGTTTGTTAAAATGTACTAAGCAATACTCCCCAAGCTTTAAAACACTTTTTTTTTTTTTTTAGGTTGCCTTGTGTTTGTGATTTGGAAATGGAGGATCATTTCATAGATGATAATGCTTGAGGTGGGAAGAGGTGAAAGAAGCTGAAGAGATATTGCTATGTACTGCTGTGGCAATAGAACTTGAACTACCAATTGCTTACACAAATTGTTTATACAAAAATGCTAGTTACGAACAGAGAATAGAGAAACCATTGGAGAAGGAATTACAAGCATTTTAGATAGAATTAATCAGATACACAGAGGCCTGGAATGTGTAAAATATTTTCTTACAAATATAGAAAATTGTATTTAAAGCAATTGAAATGGATTTTTTCTGATTATCACTCATAAATTCATACTATAGGAATTTTAAAAGGCATCAAAAGGAAAATAAAAATTTCATGTTTTACCATTTGTCCAGAGATTATCATTACTAAATTTTACATATGTTCTTCCAGAATTTTTTTATGTCCACATCTAGAAACATATTTTTTTAAAGTACAAAACAGAGTTATACTATATATAAACTAGTATATACATATAGATGTATATGTATTATTGCTAATTATTCATAATGAATTATGGACAAAAATTCTATTCTACAGAAACTCTTTATAGCAATGTTAATAATTTGTTTACCAATCTCTTATGCATGAACCTTGGGTTGTTTCCAATGTTTTACTGTAACATACAATGCTGCCGTGAATCAAGGCAGGATAACACGAGGTATAAGAATGCAGACTCTGTGGTCAGAAAGCCTGGGTTTAAGGCTCAACTCTCCCATTCCCATTCACCTTCAGCTCCTTACACCCACTGCAGAGTGGGGGAAAAAATACCCACCTTGGAAAATTGGGATTCAAGCATGAAGAGCTATTATTTGTAAGGAATATTTTCTGAGCTGCTTATGCCTTGCTCAAGGACACTAAGACCTCTTCTCAGAGCAGTGGTATACATGTGGCCTAGTCTCCATTAAATGTTTTGAGACTACCACCCAAATTCTTTTCAGGTGATTTCCTTTTCTTATCTATCCTGCCCCAATCTGAGTCCCCTCTGTAGCCATGAGTGTGAGGGAAAGGTAGACCAGGAATGGGAGGCAGGCCTCATCATACTCACCAGGACCGGTAAGGAAGGGATGGGTGATGAGCTGGGAGATTGGCCAGGCAGGTTCAGGGCATTAAACTTGGGAACCACAGCAACACTGACCCTCCGGCGGGGCATGTTCTGTAGGAAGAGAAGTGACCAGGCCCACTTTCTGGGAGGTAATAACAGTCATAGTTCTGAATGGCCTGGAAAAAGCCTACCAGTTCCTAATGCTATAATGACATTAACTGGATATTTGGTATTGGAATACTGATGGTGTTGAAAATTGGTGTGAAGTGAGGAGCCAAATTTGACTCAAATTTTCTATTGGTGGTGAGGGATCTCTCAGCATGTTCCTGCTTTAGATTATGAAATCCTGGATAAACAGAATGAAAATGACCCCCCTGCTCTCTGAAAAACATCCTGGATAGTGTATTAAAGTTGCCTGTAGCAGCACCAAAGTTTATGCACCATTTCACATTCTTTAAAGGATGTATAGTCGGGAAAACTACATAGGTACAAGACAGGTGACATTCCAGTGGTGAAGCTAGCAAATATGGAAGCTCAATGTAAACTTTCAGAGGGTCTCTGGAGCCTATGATCCATGAGTGAATGATTTCTTGAGTGACCATAGAAATTTCTGTCCTACTTTCTCTGGGAGCCCCAGTGTTCCTTGAACATGCGTACCTTTCCCATGGTGAGGGACATGGACCGCGCCGTGCGAGGGACCCCATCTTCTACAACAGGAGGAAACAGAGAAAACTCATGTAAGTTTCAAAGTTGGCCTCAGCAGGAAATAGGCAGAAACTAAGCCATGGTCAGAGCTGGCCTTCAAAGGAATAGCTCAATGGTCTGGGTGTTTGGGACACTGAGTTTGGCCCTTCACTCTCTGAGATGATCATCTGCAGAATGGGAATTCTTTTGGATGAAATCTTTATCCTAGATCTACTGGACATTAATAAGAAGTCACAATCTGGAACCTTTGGTCTTTATTGAACACTACACAATCTCTGGGTGTTGCTTTGGATAATGTGTGAGATCTACTCATAGCAACACCAAAGCTTATTGGGTCTTTCATGCTCACTTAAGGGAGGTATAATCAGAGAAACTCTGAGCAAGGAAGGTGTGGTATTGGTAAGAGTGAAAACTTGCTAAAGAAGTAGTTTCAGTATATCACATGCCCAATGATTCAGAACAAAGGAAGCCACCACCCTAGGATTTTCTTCTTCTTAGTATATCCATGAAATGACATAATTTATATGAAGTGTTTAGCATCACACCTGCATAACAGTGCCACCAGGAAACATCTGAATATGTGCAAAGACAGGTATTTGCAAGGTTAATTCAGTTCGACCAATATCATTTAGCCTGTCTATCTGTCTAGCCTTCATAGCTATATACTTTAGGTGTGTCTCTTAAAAAGTACATAACTACATATTTTTCCCTTAATCTGAGGTTCTCTGTTACAATAGGTTTATGCTGCTTATATTTCTTATGATTATTCATATATTTTTATTTCCGTTATATTATTTTATATTTTCTATTTACCCTGCTTTTTTCATTAAGTTTTTTCTAATTCTTTATCTACTTCTAATGTTGGTTTGAAAATTATTCATTGTAGTTCTAATCTTTAGTGTATTCTTTTAACTTTCAAAATTTAAATTTGACTTTAAATATAAAATTAATGAAGATCTCTATTCTTTTCCTGAGACTTTAAAACAGTAACAATCCCCCAATTTTAATTATATGTTTTTTTCACTATTTTTCTTTCACCTTGTTTTATAGTCCAAAATTTTTCATTATTGTTTTCTACAGCGAATGCTTATTTAGATCTGCCCACATACTTACAATTGGTTTGGTCACTGTTCTTTCTTACATCCTGCTCATTTTATTTCTTTAACTCAATTTCATTCTTCCCCAAATTAGTAGTTTTTTGAGCAAGGACTTGTGAGAGGTGAACTTTCTCATTAGGTGTCTCCAGGTGTCGTGACCTAGCCCTCTATTTTGAGTGATTTGCTTATATCTCACTTTTATTTCTATGTTGTCAGTAATTTTCTCTCAGCTCTTTGAAAAGGTTACTCCATGGTCTTCTGGTACCATTGTTGCTTTTGAGACTTGCCATTGCTTTGTCAACTCTCTTCTTTCTCTGGTGACTTTTAAGATCTTCACTTTGTCTTTGTTCTTCTGAAGCTTCTCTTTCGTGTGCTATGTCTTCTGCATGGAATTCACTGTGCTTACTGAATTCAATAATTTAGGTCTTTCTTTAGTTGTGGAAAATCCTCAGCTATTCTTTCTTTGAGAATGTTCTGGCTCTAATTTGCTTCTTAGGGATCATCTAATAGATGGATTGCAGACTATCTCATTCTGGACTCTACATCCCATATCTCATAATGTTTCTTTTATTTCTTTACTCACTGTATCCCTCTGAATTGCCTTTTGGGTGACTATGTCTACTCTATCACCAGTCAAGCTGAACCTTTCAGTATTCTGGGGCAGTGACCATAGTCAGGTCAGGAGGAAGAAAGGCAGGGCAAACTACACACTAGTTCCTAAGGACCTCAGCTCAGATGTGACACATCTCACGTAACAAAGCCAGTCTCATGCCTAGCCTAACTTCCAGAATGGGGAAGGGTGCCCAGAAGGAAGAAACCTAGAATACTGAGGAATCACCTCAACTACTGTGACTACCACATCTACCGCACCTCAGCTACTCAATCTTTTATTTCCATGACCCTATTTTTAGGAAATGTTCTATTTCCATGAGAAAGTGGACCTACAGGCCACAGGCTATTGTGCAGGAATCAGTTCAGAGTTTTAAAATCAGAGAGCCCTGATGTGCTACAAACCTGAAAATGAAATCCTTTACTTTTCTCCATGAAGTAGGAAATCTAAGTCTCCCTGTCAAACAAGCAACCTGCACCTCAGTCACTTTTTCTGTATAATGGGAATTTTATTTCCATCTTGGCCACTGGTAAACTGAGATGAGGATGTTTTAGTCAACATTGTGCACAATGTAATACCTCAAAGTGGAAGAAAGCCTTGTTCTTGTCCAGGAAGTACAGACACTGATAGGTCATTTGGGAGGCAGGAACTTTTATTTGTTGTCCTGATCAAAGTGAGCTTGTTTCTTTTTCCTTTCTTTCTTTCTTTCTTTTTTTTTTTAGGATGGGGTTTGAATGAGAGCCTTATGCATGCTAGGGATGACCCTGTTACTCATTTTGAGGAATTCTATTTTCTTCTTTTTGGATAACTATACCTTTACTCTCATATCTTCCATTCATCCTTTTATCTCTCTAATAATTTTAAAGGCATCCTTTTAAAAATATTTTTTAGTTAATATGCGCATAATATCTTTATTTTGTTTATTTATTTTTATGCGGTGCTGAGGATCGAACCCAGGGTCTCACACATGAGAGGCGAGTGTTCTACCACAACCTCAGCCCCTTAAAGGTATCTTTAAAAAAAAATTATTTTCCTATACAATGTTCTTAGGCTGCAATCCTATTGTTCGGTGGATCTGATGATTCTCAGTGATGTTGTATTTATCATTTTATGCCGTGAACTTGTCTTCAGTGAGGTGCTATTTAGAGGGAGCCTGTGTGTCCTGGGTGCAGGGTGTGCCTCTCTGAGTGGCTGACAGTGTTCCTCGAGGCCCCACCCTGCTGTTCTTTCAGCTCCCCGCACTTTGCATCATTACTGCTCTCACTCTGGGTATGTACTTTTCCTGTGAGGAAGGAGAAAGTGTTTTTTCCCCTACTAGAATGCAGGATGAAACAGACAAACTTCCTTATTTATTTCTATGTTGGTTGGTGACTGTTTTCCCCTCATCAAAATTCTACAAAGGTACAATCTTTGGAGGGTCTCTGCCTTCTGTGTGAATCTCAGTGTCAACTCTGTTGTGAGCAGCCACAGCGGTGGCCCTGGAATGCAAACACTCCACCCCCAGATAATTCAGGCTGACTCTGTTCCCTAGGAAGCTGCAGGGCCAGCTTGGTTTCAGTTCTCTTTTCTTTTCTTGTATCTGAGTATTTCAATTTCTTTTCCTGTGGATTCAGCTCTTCTTTAAGATTGCTTGCTTGATTTTGTCCTTTAGAAATTTCTAAGTATTTATGGTTAAAGGATTTTCAAGTTTTCTAGTCAGCCCAGTTTGCAGAACCAAATGAAATTCTTTATGTCTGAAGGGTTCATGTAAATTAATAAAATACCCATCTTACAAGTGGGCAAACATCATAATTCGAGAATTTACAGAAGTGGAGATGTAAATCTTAGTGAATATTTGTAAAAACACAGAAATATAAATTAACCCAATGAGGTTAAATTTGGGCCTATCAAAGTCAGACATATTTTTATAAAGAAAGAAAAAGAAGAGCATCCGTGACACAATGAATTGAGCCTCACTGTAATTCATTCAATGGAAATGAGTTATTTGAAAATAAGTTGCTTTAAGATCCTTATAAATCTTTCTTTTCCCTGAGCGAGTATTTATACCACTAAAAATCTATCTTAATATAATATACACATAATCAGCATGTTGCAGATTCAGAAATTTTTTAAATGTACCTCATTTTTTAAAAATCAGGGATATTTTATTTCACTGAAGTCTTCAAAGTCTCATTGACAAAGATGGTCAGAAGTTATGTAAAGGCTTAAAAAGCAGTCTTTGGGAATGGTCATAACATCTCTTAGGGACACACTTGCTGGGTGAGTATTGACCCCTTGCCACCAGCTCAAGAGAAGGCACAGCTTAGAAAAACAATGGAAGGGAGGCCAAATATTGCCAAACCATTGATTCATCAGTCAAGACTCAGCTATCATATCCTTTCCTACTGTAAGCATTTTCCTATCCTCCAAGAGCAGATGTGGAAATCTGCTTATTTCTGCCAAGGCACTGGCCACAGCGTCCTGACCTCCCCACAGGTTGGGCGCTCCTTTGGGTCTGGGACTAAGTGCCTTAAACTCTATATTCCAATATCATATGGGGCACACAGACGATGCTTAATAAGTGTAGAATTAACGAACAAGACTGAAGTTCATCCCATGAATCCTGGATAAGGTGGTCCTCGGGAGACCTTGCACCTTATAGAACAATAATGTGATAACCCAGGTACAAAGATTCCCTTGGTGGTCCTTTCCCCCTCTTCCAGCACTGGCTGAGAGTGGTTTGCTAGAAGCCCAGATCCCTAGGGGTCAGGAGCCTTGCTGCAAAGATCCAAAGCAGACAGCCTGGAGCGTGCGTGCACTGCCTTTGGACTCTGGGAAGTGTCACTGATGTTTCCCAGGAAACTTGTGAAACCTCCTGTTTATAAAGGTTTCTCCATCTATTATACTTTCTGCACTCTTCCTCCTCCTGGTGACATGGATGTTTGCATTCCACTGGGATTCCTGATGTTAAAATGTCTGTTTTCTCTACTAACTACCCTCATCAGTAGAGCCCAAGCCCTGATAGGCACTGACATCTCCCTCCTGCACTGAGCAAGAACCTCCTAACTCATCCTTCCCCACTTGAACTTTACACTCCTTTAATGGACTGTACACACTGAAGTCAGAGTGATCTTCTAAAAATAAAATCTGATCATGTCACATGACAGACTCACCGATGACTCCTCTCTGGCTGGAGGACAAAGGCCTGCATTGATATCATCATGGCCTGGCAGGCAGCCCTGGACTAGCAGGTGTCGTCTTCAACCTGTCCCTATTACACACCACTATCGCAACCACATCAAACTGTTTCATCTTCTCACCTACAACCTCCACATCTTTGTCCGTGCTGTTTTCTCCACCTGGGATGAATCTGCCCCTCTTAACTGCAGAACTCCTAGCTTTATTTTAAAATACGGAGGAGATGCCATCCCTCTGTGAAGCCTTCCTTGACTTCCTTAAGCAGAATCAGCAGGCAGCCCCCTGTGTTCCTATAGCAATTTGTGTAGAACTTAAAATATATATCTGAGAGGATTTCTTTAAAACATTGTCTTGCCCTGAGTCTGCTCTTTATCTCAGCAATGCCTCCATCTGCCAGGCTCGCACTCCACCCCCACTGCCCAGACTTTACCCCTCACCTGGGCGGTTGCAATACCCTCTCCATGGGCTCCTTGGCTGTGCTCTACCCCAGTAATTTGATTGATGCACCGCGGCTGGAGGGCACCTTCTTAAACTACACATATGATCGCGTCATTTTCCTGATTAAAATCCTTGGTCGTATCCCTAATGGTTTCCAGAATAAAGCCCAATTTCTTTAGCATATGGTACCTAAAAGAGGGTCCCAAAGCACAAAGATTTATGGGGTTTGGGGTCATTCTCACAAGGTAAAGAAAGCTCTTGCAGCCTGTATTTTTTTTTGTTTGTAGACAGTCACTCTGGTTAATTGTGTTGGGAGTCAAGAGGTCATTCCCATTTCCTGGTTCCAGGACCCCAGGCTCCCTGGAGCAGCTGCTGCAAATGCTCTGTGGGTGACATTGGGCAGGGGAAGGGAGACTTGCAATTGGAAATAGGTCCTGGGGCTGTCTTGATCCCTCTGGTCCTAGCTGAGAGCAAGATGGGTGCAGAAGCCCAGTCCCTTACCAGAGGGGCCACAACTGCGGCTTGAATTCTGATTTGCAAGTTTTTTAAACTCCATGAGTTCTGCATGGTCCTTCTCATAGGTCCTCTTCAGATTCTCCACATACTGCATCATCACTTCTGTTGCTTTTGACATGCGCTTTTCCTACAGGGAAGGAGAGCATGTGTTCAGGGGGCAATTGGAGGAAAGGCGCTAGCAGCACTTGTCTGCTCTAAGCCAGGCTCTGCGCTGTGAGATTGGGAAGGATACTGGGGCCCATCGGATGTGACAATGCCCCCTATGAGACTGCTGCCCAAGATGCAAACCAAGAGTTGGACTCAGGTACCTGTGCCTAGGGATAAGGAGAAAGGCACAGCCTGGTGCAGCAGGAAGTGAGAGGAGGAAGGGATTTGTTTCTGCTTGCAGAGAATGGATCAGGGGAGGGTGGGTGGAGATGAGATGAAGTCGTGGATGCAGGGTGTGGGCAGCATCTGAGCATGTAGACACAGGCGGGGGGACACAAAGCGCATTCAGGCCAGGGAACCCCAAGGTGAGTCAAGGAAGGACCTCATAAGGCTTGAATGTAGGTGAGGAGTTATCCTCCAGACAGGAATCCTTTAGAGAGTGAAAAGGGGGTGCCATTACAAATCTCGCTGGGACAATAGGCATAAACCAGGGCTGTGTCGTTGTCCCACTCAGGCAAGGGTCAGTTAGAAGCTGGGAAGAAGAAGTAAGAAAAACAAGTGAACTAGAACTAGGCTGTGAAGGACCCTAAATGCTAAATGGGGGAATTAGGATTATCCTGAATAAAAAGTGGAACCACTCAATATCTTAAGGTAAGAGGCGATATGAGTGGAGACAGATGAAAGGGAGTGAGACTGGTGGCAGTGACAGCAACAGAGAAAGACAGGACAAGCACTCGAGCTAGTAGTCCATTGGAAGCAGAGACGAAAGGAAAGGACTGGGACAGAAGCCAGGGAGGGGAAGCCATTTAAAGAAGAGCAAAGATGGAGTGAGCAACACAGGGGACAAAAAACACGTTTGGGAGGACAGTGTCTCTTTGTCCCTCAGAGGGTCTAGCTCAGACCCCATCTGGCCTCAGAGGGACTTCCCCTTTGACTTCCCTGGAAGAGGTCCCGATAGCTCAGTGGCGCTGAGATGGGCCACTCCCTAGCATCCTCTCTGTGTGGCTGCTCCCAGCTGGGTGACTTCCTGGGCTACACTGCTGAGTCAGGAGCTCTATCCAGAAGGACACAAGGGTGGGTCAGGCCTGTGGCTTGTCTTTTCATTTCACAGGCAGTGCTCAGGGCTACACCCCAGGAACATCCTCTCATGCATCCAGTGCAGCAGGATGTGGGTCCATGAAAATAGCAACCGTCATGACAACATCAAAGTACTTTACAAGGATTACAGCAACCCTACGGCAAGCCCATGATCATCCTCATTCACAGCTGAAGAAACTGAAGCGTAGAAAGCTTGGTACCCATCCCAAGGTCTCACAGCAAGTGAGGGGTGGAACCAGGACTAGAACTTGAGCAGTATGGCCCTATAACACCATGCTGGACAAGAGTGGACCAAAGTGGCCAAGAGAGAGCCTTAACCTGGGCCTGCACCCCTGCTTTGCCACTCACTGGTGCTGTCACAGGTTGAGTATCCCTTATCTGAAGCACTTGGGACCAGAAGCATTTTGGACTTGGGATTTTTTTCAGATTTTGGAAAATTTGCATATACATAATGAGATACCTTGGAGAATGGAAGCCAGGTCTAAACATGATATGCATTAATGTTTCATGTATTCCATTCACTTGTAGCCTGAGGGTAAGTTCATACAATATTTTTAGAACATCTACATTAAGACTGTGATTTGACACATGAATTCAGGTGTAGAATTATCCACTTGATACATCATTACTGGTGCAAAAACTTTGGAATAGTTCAGAATTTGGATTTTCAGATTAGGAATGCTCAACCTATGCCTTTCAGATCTTCTATATCTTCATCTAGGAAAAGGGACAGATACTTTGGAGGATTAATGGATGAATCAAATGAAACAAAACAGCTTTTCCTAAAGGATGTTTTTTTCAATCCTAGTTCCATGGGAGTTAAATAGTTACTTTGTGAGAAAAATTGAGTGAGGGGTTCTTTCATATAGTCAAATACATTTGGGAAATACAAGTTAAACTTTGTTTATTTTTTTTTTTAAGGATTCCTCCTCCTCTTTCTTCATTGTCTTCATCTTCTCCTTTTTTCAGTACCCATTCTTTTTTCCTACAGGACTTCTCAATACCAATATGCTTTAGAAATCTCCAAGAAGAAAGACAGTAAACAGTCATTGCCAAACTTACCTGTCTACAGAAAGCTTTTTCCAGGAAGCATCTTGAGGGTCAATAAAAATACTCTGAACAATAGGTCAATAACCTCCTCCTGGCACAGAGCAACACGTCACTGGGTGTTGTCTCTGGTTGTCCCTGCTGGTCACTGTGCTAGTTACCACAAGTAGAAAAGAACCAGTCAGCAAGGCTGGGGTTGGTGGGACTCACCTGGCGGACAGCCCCCACCACCTCGGCTCGGCTGGAGAGACGGGCAGCCAGGCGGTGCAGGACAGCAATGTCCTCCAGCAGCTTCTGGTAGGTCTCACGATGCTCACAGTGGTGCCAGAGTGATGCTGAGGACTGAGAAGCGAGAAGGAACATCACCCAGGGTCCTCATGTAGTGCTGTGGACCCAGTGTCTGTGCTCTCCCCAAAAGCATATGCTGAGATCCTAACCCCCAATGTCAGAGTACCAGGAAGTAGGGCTTTTTTTGAGAGAGATGATTAGGTTCCAAAGGTAGAGCCCTCAGGAGTGAGATTGTGTCCTTCTGAAAGGGGCCCCAGAGAGTTCTCTTGGTTTCTTTCTACCATGTCAGTCTGCAAGCCCAAAGAGGGCCCTTGACCAGCACTGACCATGCTTGCACCTTCATCTTGGACTTCTAGCCTCTAGGATTGTGAGAAATAAATGCTTGTTGTTTAAGCTACCCAGTCTGTGGCACTTTATTATAGCAGCCTGAGCTGACTGGAGCAATACCAAGCCTAATAATATGACAGGCTCATGAGACAAGCCTTGGGCCTCATCTTCGCTAAGACAGGGCTAGGGCCACAGCATCTTCTGGAAATTGGAGAAGCCCTACGTAGATACTGTATACCTGGCTGGCCTGAAAGGAGTCATCTGCAGGCAACCAGCCCCTCTTGAGAAGCTCCCAAGGGCTCCAAGGCCTCATTCACAGACCTAGGTAATCTGGCCTTCAGGATCTATGCCTCAGCTCCCCCAGCTCTCTGAGGAAGGCCCTATCAAGATCTTGGCTCCATTTCTCATTTCAGAAGTCTCTACTTGGTGACCAAGAGATGTGTGACACTTGGCATGACCCTTGGAGACAGTCCCTCGTGCAAGAATTCCTTAAATCAAACTCCACAATTACCGTAATGGAAGCTTTAAAGTTTTCCAGTTCCTTCTCAGTGTTCTCCTCCGTCAGGTTGCGTTCCCTTTCAGCCTGGTTAATTCTAGATTCCAGGGTGTAGCTGTCATTTCTAAAGGCCAAGGACAGTTGTACAAACACGTTCTGTTGGGAACAAGAGTGCGGAAGAGGTGCTAGGAGGAGTTATTGCAGGGAACAAGGCTGCAGGTGTGTTTCTTGCTCAAGCATTTTACAATGGCCCCCAGAAAAAGGCACCAAGGCAGCCACGTGTAAGTGAAACTCACTTCATGGTAAACCACACAAATGATGGAGAAAAGCAACCCGAAGTCCAGGCCAGGCCCTTTCCAGGACCAGAAGGCCAAATGCTTTTTACCAAAAAATAATAAGAGAATAACACTCTGCTTTCCCTTGTATTTTAAGAAAGTAACATCCTGTATTTGGGTTTAAATTCAGGCCAGTGCAGCTGATTGTGTAAGCAGTTTGGATTTATGCTAGGATTTATTGCACAGGGGATTTTGGAGATTTTGCATGAAACCTCTGTATTTAAAGAAACCCTATTTGAGGTTTAAGTTTTGTTGATTTAAAGCAAAACTTCAACAAGCATCTTGCCTGACTGCTCCAAATCTTATATCAATAGCAGCTTTAGGTAGCTGCCAGGGGATTAAATAAGGCCAGGTATGGTTCTGTTAGAATAAGCTTCCTGGAATAAATATTCCATGCCAAAAATGCATCATGGAGTTCATGATTACATTTTTAAAAGGTGGTATTGATCAGACATGGAAACCCTGGAGAAATAGGAAACTACTGGGGAGGACTAGACAGAAGGACTCCACACAGGAAGGCAGGAAGAGTCTTCAATTTTATAGCCTTCATCTGCCTGGCCTGAGTCCAGCGGTAGCAGATTTACATCCAGTGGTCACTAACTGTGCCTGAGTGGGCAGGTGTCTCCAGACAGTATTGAAGGCACTGAACTTACTCCATATGATGACATTGGCAATATTGAAAACGACTCCTTCTTGAACATCTATGTTATGCCAGGGCTACTATGAGTTTACAAACCTTACTTTGTTTAATCTCTCAACAACCCTCTGGGGTAGGAACTAATATACTCATTTTGTGGGTAAAGAGAGGACCAGAGAGGTCATTAACTTGTTCAAGGTGACAGGAAGTGGCAGAGCCAGGACTTATTCTTGGACTGCTTCCAAAGTCTGTTTTACTTCCACCATGCTGGGAGCTGACTGTCAAGACGCATCTGAGGATAGAATCTGGCCATTAAACAAACTGCCCATGGCTCATGTTCACAAATGTCAGTGAGTGGGCTTTGAGCTCTCAGCCTTGTGATGCGGATTCTCTGTTCTACTCAGCTTCCGTCAAAACTATGATTAATGCTCAATGCATAATTCTCTGGGCCTTAATGGCATCAAGTCCTGATTCAATGGAACACTTGGGTCCAAATCTTAGTTTTGCTAAGTACTGGATGTGGGACCTTCACAAGTTATTTGATTGGTAAGTTTTTCTTCTTTAATTCCTGCTCCACTTGCTTTTCAGAGCTGATGGGAGGATCAGCTGAAAGGACAGCTATGCATGCTCAAGCTATAAGTGCTGTGTCTAGAACAAGATTATTGTTGCCATCTGTGGCAGACATTTCATTTTATCTGTCTTTCTTTGCTTATCTGGTCCACACCAATGGTTTGCATTGTCTCACCTCTGATAGGTTCTCCTTGTGCATCTATGCCTTCACCAGAGTGAAATGCAAATTCCTCTCAGCTCACTCCCCACCCACCTTGGGATAAGAAGGCCTAAGAGGACTAAGGTCAAGTCAGGGACGGCTGTGCTACTGGCAGCTGAGCTGGCTTTATTGCAGCTAAAGCCCTCAGAAGGCTAGCACCTTTTCCCTAGAAACTAAAGTTTGAAACTTGAAATCTTATCTTGAAAAAAAGCTCATCATCTCTAGAAATAAGAGAAATGAAAACTACTCTAAGATACCATCTCTCTCCAGTCAGAATGGCAGCTATTATAAAGACAATCAACAAGTGTTGGTGAGGTTGTGGGGGGAAAAGGTACACTCATACACTGCTGGTGGGACTGCAAATTGGTGCAGCCAATATGGAAAGCAGTATGGAGATTCCTTGGAAAACTGGGACTGAAACCACTATTTAACCCAGCTATTCCTCTCCTCGGTCTATACCCAAAGGACTTAAAAACAGCATACTACAGGGACACAGCCACATCAATGTTTATAGCAGCACAATTCACAATGACTAAATTGTGGAGCCAACCTAGATGCCCTTCAGGGGATGAATGGGTAAAAAAAAAAAAAATGTGGCATATATACACAATGGAATTTACTCAGCAATAAAAGAGAATAAAATCATGGCATTTGCAGGTAAATGGATGGCGTTGGAGAAGATAATACTAAGTGAAGTTAGCCAATCCCAAAAAACAAATGCCTGAATGTTTTCTCTGATATAAGGAGGTTGACTCATAGAGGAGTAGGGAGGGAGAACATGGGAGGAATAGATGAATTCTAGATGGGGCGGAGGGGTGGGAGGGAAAGGGAGGGGGCAAGGGATTAGCAAGGATGGTGAAATGTGATGGACATTATTATCCAAAGTATATGTATGAAGACATAAATTGGCATGAATACTTTATATACAAAGATATAAAAAATTGTGCTATGTATGTGTAATAAAAATTGTAATGCATTCCACTGTTGTGTATTTAAAAAAATAAAATCAATTAAATAAAAAAAGTCTGTGGTTATATAGTGTTAGAGGGTATTTGGGAAATCTCTGTACTTTCTGTTTGATTTTGCTATAAACTAAAACTGTTCTAAAATAATAAAAGCTATTTTTAAAAGACAAAAAAAATCTTATCATCTTTTACTCCTTTAAAAAATATTTGATATAATTCTGCAGCCTTCTAGCTGAACTTGTACATCAAAAATGTACACTTCAAAAACATACACTGCTCAAAGGAACATGGAATTTCCAACTACCTTCTCACCTCTGACCAAATCCTCTATTAACAGGAGCAAGAGTGGGAATCTTGTCGGTTCATCAGTTGGATATGAATATCCATGTTATTCATGGTCATTTGTTCTTGTTTTTTTTTTGTGTGTGTGTGTAAAAATGTAAGGATCGGGGCTGGAGGAAGAGATATTTTGAATAAGCTGAGTTAATCGCAGGCACTCAATTGCATAAAGCACCTGAATCACTTACCTCAACTTCCTTTTCAGTGAGTGGAGGGGTGCTGTGAAAAAGAGAGAATACATATATGAACTTTATCCAGCCCAGTAAATAAACTACAAGGTGACTTTGAACGACTAGCTGACAAGTGTTTTCAGAAATAGAGTAAGCTGAGTTGGTGAGATGGGAATACGGCAGAGTCCCATTTGTGTTCTCTGTCTTTTATGAGACTCTGATCCTTGCAGAGGTAGCATTGAAGAAAACATTAGATCCTGGGGTCAGTCCTCCAGCAATGTCACTTCTACCTCTATGACTTTGGATAAGTTATTTAATCTCTGTAAGTGCTAGCTTGCTCATCTGTAAAATGGGAATAATATTATCTACCTTGCAGAAGTCTAATAAAAAACATGCGAATGTATGTAGTATGAAGGAGTATGTGCCCATAAAAACAGGCAGCCCTCCATATCTGTGGGTTCTACATTCCTGGATTTAGCCAGCTGCAGATCGAAAATATTCAAGAAAATTGTGTCTGTACTGAAGATGTGCAGACTATTTTGGTCATAGTTTTTAAATAATACAGTAAAATTCTTATTTACATAGCATTTTTGCCCTTGCACTAGATATTATAAGTCACTTAGAGATTATTTAAAATCCACAGGAGGATGTCTATAATATATGCAATACTACGTTATTTTAAACAAGGGACTTGAGCATTTGCAGATTTTTGGTATCCATGCAGAAGGGGGTGGGTCCTGAAACCAATTCTTCATGAATTCCAAGGGCCAACTGCTAAAGGACATCCATATTCAGTAGTACCCAGGAAATGTTAGCTATTGTCACTATTCACTCACAGGCTTGCTATGAGGAATTAATAAGTGCATATGCATTTGTAACTTACAAACTATGTACACATCCAAGTTGCTGTTACAGTTTTCCTTGGACGACCTAGGTCTGCAAAGTCTGACCTTTTCATTCTTGAGCGCTGTGACAAAGTTCCATGTGGCCAAAGAGTTAAAGATAGGAAAGAGTATCTTGAGCTCTTCTCCATGACAAGACCCTCTGTGGCAGGAATCAGAATGTCAAGGGAGTCCCATTTGGCACAAAGGGGCCCTTCCAAGAGTTGCTTGTCATGTGCAGGTCCCACAGCCTGTCCCCAGAAAGCAGTTCCTTTATCTGCATGCCCACGCTGTGTGGCTGCCACCTCTGTTCCTGCTAGTAACTAAAGCTGGACGTATTCTGAAACCCAGATAATGTAAATAATGCACAGGCCCTTTCCTGTGCTGGGTGGGGAGGCCGGGAGGGGTCCGACCAGTGTCACAGGACTTGGCAAGAAAGCTTGCCATCAATAAGCTTCACAGGAAACACAGCTTCCTCCCTTTCACGGGTGCAGAGGGACCTGAGATCAAAGGTAGGGGTCAGCCATCTCTGCAAGGGGCTGGTTCTCACCCTCCAGGAGGGACTGTGAGAGCCTTCCTGTTAGGATGAGGCAACAAGACCCCACGGCCACCAAGTCAGCCGAGAGCAGGACAGGAGATAAACAGCTGCAAAGATGCGCTATGTTACAGCCCTGGTCACAGCCCCACCCGGCAGGCCCTTTCCTCTGAGGGCCGACTCACTCTTACCACATATTCTTATAGAGCATCACACACTCTCTACATGATTTATCAAAGCTTACTGAGAGTGCCTCTGACTCCTGGCTTTATGTATTATGTGCAATTCTGCCTATTTTCATAAATAATTAATCTAACTTTATTCCTTTATCCTCCTACCTTGTTGACTCAGAAACAACTACTTTGTTGACTCCTTTTTTGCTCTTGAACACACTCAACTGTGTTTTTTTGTTGGTTTGTTTTATGGTATGTGGTATTCCCAGGTGGGCGCAGCAGGACACACACAGGGAGGTGTGTGATCTAAGCCAAGAAGCCCCGTGCCCAGCCAGTTCCTGAAGCAGAACTAGGCCTTATAAACTGGCTTTGGCAGCTAGGAGGCAGAGCCACATACCTCTGAAGGGACAGAGTGTCTTTTCATGTGACTCCTTGTATATCTTCTTTGAAGACATGTCTATTTAAATCTTTGGTTATTTGAGGAAAAAGGACAATAATTTGTCCTTTTGTTGCATTATAAGAACTCTTGATAGAGAAACAAGTTCATTATCAGATTAAGAATTTGTAAATATTTTCTCCTATTCTGTGGGTTGCCTTTCACTTTCTTGATGGCATTGTTTGTTAGCACAGAAGTTTTTTATTTGGATGAGGTACTATTCATCTGTTTGTTTAACCCTTTTTCTTTCTTTCTTTTTTATTTTTATTTTTTTTTGGTAGTGCTGGGGATTGAACCTAGGGCCTCACATATGCTAGCCAAGTGCTTTACCACTGAGCACATCTCCAGCCCCTTTACCTTTTGTCTTATATTTTTGGCATCACATCCAAAAAAACACGCACTAACTTAACGTCATGAAGATTTATTCCTGTTTTCTTCTAAGAAAAAAAGTGTCATATCTTAAACTTAGTTCTATGGTCCATTTTGAGTTAAATTTTTTTGTGTGTACTGTGTGAGGTAGGGTTATAAGTTCACTCTTTTTTTTTTAATATTGTTTTTGGTTGTAGATGGACACACTATCTTTACTTTTATTTGTTTTTTTATTTTTAATGTGGTGCTGGGGATTGAACCCAGGGCCTCATGCATGGGAGGCAAGCACTCTACCACTGAATTATAACCTCAGCCCATAAATTCAATCTTTTGCATGTGACTATCTGTCCCACCACCATTTGTTGAAATTACTAATGTTTTTGGTTTGAAAAATTTTTCACCAAAATATTTGCCTGGATATCTTGTTTTGTCATTTGTGTATCTCAAATTTATTAGATCAACACAGAGAACTTCCTTGACTCCCCACTCAATATTTCTCTCCCATGTCATTGTCTATTTGTGCCCTATTTCATAGTCTTTATACCATAGTATTTTCTCAAATACCCAGACTGTTCACTTTTTAGCTCAGCTCTCAAGGGCCTGTTATGTCATAACTCCCTGATCACACATGATCTTGTTTAGCCAGCATCACACTCCACCAATGACAGAGTACTTATGACCTCTGTTGTGAAAGGAAGGAAACCACAGCTCAGAAAGCAAAGGCACTACCCTCTAGGAGTGGAAGAAGTCTGGTGGGTTTTTTAAGCAATCATTCTTCATGTGGTTGCTCCATTTATGCAAATCTCAGACCTAGACTCTCTCAGTTATAGGTAAGTGGACTATCTGGATTGAAACCCATCTCTCCCGTCCCAAAGCCTGCACCATCTGCTACAATGAGTTTCTGGTGGCCCTATGTCCAAAGGGCTATGCGCACCTGTGAATCCTGCATACTCTTTCAGATGGAAACTCCCAGTTTGGCCCTTTCTTATTCTTTTTATTTTGAATTCATTACCCCTTCCTGGACCACTGGACTTTAGCCCTTCTGGGATTAAGAACCAAGATTTGAGTTCTCTGGGTCCCACCTAGAATCTAACACAGGCACCACCCAATACAGCTCTTCTGCAATCCAAGTTCTGATTTTACCTTCCAGGGAGGGACTTGTGGACTCGCAGTTTGCGCAGCAGCACATCAGAAATATTGGGCATGACATCCAAACCACTCTTTGACTCTTCTTCCTCAATAGTTGGGGAGAATTCAGAAGGGATCCCTGAAAAATGAAAGTGCTTTCTTTTGAAATGTCTTTTTGAAATCACAGTAAAACTATTGGCAGCTACTTTCGGGGGTGGGGTGGGGAGGAAGAATTTTAACACTTATAAACACCTAGTTAGATGATAAGAGTTTTCATAATTATCATCTTATTTATCACAATGAACCAATGAGCTGGAACATCATCCTCCTGTTTTACAGGGAGCTTAGCCAAGGCTCAACAAGGTTAAGTAACTTGCCCAAGATTACAGGCAGAGTAAATGGCATAGCCAGACTTCAGACCTAGGTCTGCCTGTTTCAAATTCTTTCTTCCCATAGTTCCCCACAGTATCAAGCATGATCTTATGTCTGGGAACAGATGTTGTTTTTTGGCAACTGAAAACTGGTTGCCTGTTTGGCTATAATAAGTGAGTGGGAAAAAACTCTCTACCTGGCAGTTTCTCAGGAGGTCTCATATCCAGTTATTTTTCCTTATGTATATTCAAAAGTTCTATTTTCCAGTTCCCACCTAGAAATCAACATTTGGTTTCATTGCTACTTAGAAAAAGAAACAGAGAATGTCTAAGGCAAAGTTAAGGTCCAGGACCTCAAGGCCCTTTTACATATCTCTAAAATATAGATGCCTACTAGCAACAGAGCCAAGTGATAGCCTTTCGTTATATCCTGAAACCAGGCTGGATCTGTGCTGTGATCTCATAAATCTTTATCTTATTTGGAGACACCTCTTGCATCTCTTCAGAGCTTCCCTTCTGCAGCCTCCAGCCCTTCTAGCTTCTCAGTGTGGCTGACCATGATCCAAGGTTCATGCCTGCATCCTGGTTTGCTGTTTTGGAGGCCTAGGTGTGCTCTAACAAGTTCAGCGTAGGAGGACATTAGAAAGTGACTTTGACATTGACATTCGTTATTCACACAATGTAGACTTTCTATGCCTTGCTATGGGTTCATAGTTTACTAGGGTTAAGTCAAAGCCTCCAATTTCTTTTTAATTTAATTTAATTTTTTAATTAGGTATCCTAATCCCATACAATGATTGTTTTCCATTTGCATTCAGGAATTTACATTTATCTCTTTCATGGGCTTTGACGTTGCAGATTCCCAACCTGCTTGGTCATTTTCCAGGACTGTAGGCCAGGCTGGAGATCAGGACTAATTACAGCAACCATCCAAATAGCCCTAAGACTAGGAGCCATGTGAATAGAAACCTCACCAAAGGAGCCATGCAGAGAAAAGAGGATAGAGTTGGGCTCAAGGTTAAGAATTTTTAAATACTTTTAGCTTCCTAATAACAGAATGATGTTCATGGGTTCCCTGATTTTCAAGGTATCCAAGCACAGACTGCAGGGCCATCTGTCAGAGATCGTCAACAATGGTTTGTTTGTTTGTTTTGGTTTTTTTTTTTTTTTTTTGGTTTAACATTGACTAGATATACTCTTAGCTACCTGTCAACTCTTTGGTTGATAGGCAATTATTGCTCTCTGATATTTCCAGGTGACAGATGGCCAACCTTGTGCTACCTCTGGCATTGCTCCACCACACTCAGCAGAGAACCAATTATGCTGTGGGCTGCTGAGAACTGTGTATGATAGACCAAACAATGTGAAGCCTAATAATTGAGTGGAACTGTACCAGGGGCTTTTGCCTAGAAAAGTCCCTTAGGTTAAGTGGGAAGGAAGGAAGGATGGAAGGGAGGGAGGCAGGGAGGGAGGGAGGGAGGAAAGAAGAAAGAAGACAAAAGGAACTACTTAGTGAATCTAACTCTTGTTAAAATAACTCCCTTAAGAGTGATCCCAGAATTGGTGGATCTCAGAATCAACCACTCTCCTCCTGAATGGAACCAAATTAGCAACAAAAAATTTAAAAATCAACCAAAAATACACCAGCAATGTTCAAATACAGGAAATGGCAACACTCTTTAAAAATAATGTTTAGAGAAAGACAGAAATTACTATAATACACACTGAGCTCCCACCCTTGACAACTCTTTTTTCCTTCCTCCCCCAAAGAATGAGTTTTGCAAAGATATGAGAGGAGAAATTCTGATGCAGTGCAGTGACACAGAACGGCAGGGAAGTGGATGGAGGGGTGAGTGGCTGCCTGAGGAGGACACTCACAAGTTTTCCAGGTTAGAGGGTCTCCATCCCACACCAATGCTTTAAGGAAGGAAAAAGAGAGGAACAACTGTGTTGCCACTTAGCATTTCTTACTAGCTCAGAGGGGAGAGGAAAAGCAGAATGATTACACAGAATTCGACAGAATTCTATCCGAGTTGCTTATCTTGAACAATCTAGGGGGATTTACCAGAAAGGAAGATTAAAAATAAGACAAGCTCCTTGGATGGAGTGATTGGCGGGGGAAACATGGAAATCCCCAATTGAAGCCATCCCCACCCCCACCTCACTTCTGAAACTGGCATAGTGACCAAATGTCTTGGATTTTGATATTTTTTCCTTCCTTTGCCTGGCAGAGGAATGAGTGGCTCCTGGGAGGATGGGCCTAGTCTGAAGATAAACCCCTGGACAGGTTGTCTCTAAAAGTCTCCTAAGTTAGAGAAGCAATCCAAAGCTCACAATTCCCCACCAAGGAAACAGATACACCCCCAATCTGCTTTAATGAACCCAAGTTTGGGGGCCATAGAAAAGAGCAAAAACCAGTCCTGCAAACACTATTATTCACAGCTCTGTCTGAACTTCCCCTTTTCTCCACCAGTAACAAGCAGATACAAAATACCCAGTCTTCAACTGAAGAGCTGAAGGAAGGAAGGGTAATGAGATCTCAGACGAGGTACAAAGAAGTCAATAAAAAATAACCCACACAATGTATGTGGGCAAAAGAAAATCCAAGTAGACATGTCCAGATCAGAAAGAAAGCAGATGAAAACCAGTGCATGGCAGCTATACAAAAATACAAAAGTTAAAAGAGGAAGGACAGAAGGAAGGAAGGTAGAAAGGAAGAAAAAAGGGAAACATGTAGGAGACAGATGTCAGGATGGAAACATAGCTGCAAAAAAAAAAAAAATCAAAATGCAAAAGTGCATTTCTGTGCAAAATATATGCCAGAAATTTGTTGACTCAAGGAGAAATTAGAACCTGGAAAAAAAAAACTAAAATAAGCAAGGAAGGATGAGATGAGAAGATCGTACAGTCATAAAAGAGGGTTTCTACATAAGGAAAGAAATTGAAGATCAAAATTACAGAACTGGAAAATACAGAAGTAACCAAAAGTTGGAAAATGAAATATAATAATATGAAATATAACATATAGAGCTTCAAATAGAATTAATAAGGAAGGTGAGAGAGATCGAATGATCACAAGGAATGCAAGGAAGAAAATAAAGAATGAAACATGGGGCTGGAGCTGGAGCTCAGTGGTAGAGCATTTGCCTAGCACTTGTGAGGCATTGGGTTTGATCCTCAGCACCACATAAAAACAAATAAATAGAATAAAGCATTGTGTCCATCTAGAATTTTAAAAAAATTAACAAAAGAATGACGTATATAGAGATGGAATATGAACCTGGAGTTGAGACACTGTTGACCACTGTATAGATTTTGTTCTCTCTGGAATAGTGAAGCAAACCAATGAAACAAAGAGCATATTCAAAGATATAACAGAAGAAAAAATTTCCTGAAATGAGGGGAAAGCTGAAGTTGTAAGTTGACCTCCTATTTTAAAAAAAAAATGTATTTCAATTTTGAAAAAGTTCATCTAGTCTCATCTCCCTCCCCCCTTCCTCCTGAATTTGTAGGTAAGGGGCATTTGGCATAAGAAGATAGGTAGATAAAGAAATGCTTCTCCAGCCACCATCACAGAAAAGTAAGATACCTATTACGGGGAGGTGATTGCTAAGGAGTGCAGGCAAACAACTGGCCTTCGATTTCTCTACTGAAATTTCTCTACTCAGTGGAGCAAATCTACAGAGCTCTAAGGGGAAGGATTTTACAATTGTGTAAGTTATTGTTCAAGATCTGAACAACATTTACAGACATGTTAGAACTCAGGGAATACGGCATCTCTCATCCCTTCTGAGCAAACTATGATCATGAAATTCCAGTTAACCAAGACAAAAATCAAAATCAATTTGGGGATGGTGAGCCATGGTAAAGGACCAGTGGTGAACATGACATCCTTTTACATGTAAGTCCAAGGCTGAACAACTGTAAAAACCATGGCTGCAGAATGGATTATAAAAGCTATAACCTTGACAATAAACAAAGGAGAATTCAGCACATGTATCGGTAGTGACATAAAAGGCAGGAAGTAGTAAGAAGGTGGGAAGAAATGCTGCCATTCTCATCTTTTCCCCCAGGAAGTCAGTAGGACCATCTTAGTGACATAATGTTCTTGTCTATTCTTGGTGTCAGGCGTTGGGGCCTTAATCCTGGAGATACTGCCTTTCCAAGGTGAGGTAATTCCTGGAGATAAAAGCCAAGTTTCCTTCAAGTTCAGCTTTAACATACAAACCAACCAATCCAGAACCTGCACCCAACCATTTCCTTTATCAAACTCACACACTCCAAGCCAATATTCTTCCTGCTCTAGAGCACCCAGGAACAAGGACCTGACGACCAGACACGTCCCCTCTAGCCAAGCCTGACAATATTATTCAAGCTATCCAATCCTAAACTTACTCAGGGTACCCCTTCCCTTCCCTTGCCCATTCCTTCCCATGAAAACCCCAGTAAGGGCCTGGGTTCTATTCTCCCCTCCCTCCTCTGCCTCTTGACTAACCCTGGTCCTTGCCCAGGTGGCCTTGCGCCAAGGTGGGCTGTGTCTCCTGTTTTGGGGAATCTGTGAGTAAAAGTATCTTCCTTCCTAAGAATCATTTCTCTGGTTTGTGTGTCTTACCTGGTTAAAACAAGTGCTGGGTACAAAGTTTAGAATAACCATCTGGATTTAAAACATGCAGAAACCGACCACAACTCCAAACCCCTAATGAATTTCATAATACAATTTCAAAACTTTTAGAAACTAATTTCTTCTCTTTGGAGGAAGCAATTACCA